ATTTGTAAATTAAAATCCATATTAATAAAAATGTAAAAAAAAAAATATACAAGAAAATTTTAGCATATATTTTGAAAAGCGGGGAGGAGTGGGGGAAGGAGGGGAGGGCCCAAAAACGGCTATGCCTAGGGCCTACGAAAGGTATAATCCGGCTCTGGTGATGGTCACGCATAATGGTGGCTCGTTCAGTGCATTTGTAGGTGTAATGCGCTCCAGCGAATTTCATACACGTCGGCTCATCGGTGCATTTGCTAGAATCGAGTTAACATGTCTTATATACTAGTGAATTGTAGTTGTAATTTTGTAATGGTAGATACGCTACAGAAGCCGGGAGAGCTGTATTAAGATCACCGTACTTTTGCTGATCGTGAGAGCTGTATTAAGTTCACAGTCGTGGTTACTCCCATGTTGCTTTTAGCAGTCGAGTGTATGTCGGCTGACGTTATGTGTGACCGAGACGAGACTGAGTAGCAACGGTGCAAGGAGGATAATGTCGCAGTCATAAGTTGCAAGTCAACTGTTCAATGTGGACCATCAATCGAAGTAGGTGTGTTCAGACCGAAGTGGGCGTTACTGTCAAGACAGGCGTGTTCACATCACGTTCGAATGTCACCAATGTGGGGAGTGGAGTTCAAGGATGGCGCCAGACTTTGTCCGACAGGGGGGCTCAAACAAATTAATTCAAAATATTTAAATTAAAACGAATTTAATAATTTGCATTTTTTTCTCATGCTTCTTTCAAGTGTGTTTCTAAGAGTCTAAAATCACTAATATTGATACCATAATGTGCAGATTCATTTTAATTTAAATCGTATTTTTTTTTCTGCTAGCAATGTATTTTGTACTGTATGGTGAAACTTACCACAGATTGTAAGCTTAAAAATTACTTCTGTAATGAAGAAAAATAGTTGTAGCCAGTGCCGGATTCGAACACGGGGACCTAGACCATTCAAATTTTTGGGGCCCTTAGATTAAATTTTTTTTTCTCGTATAATTTTTATTTATTCAAATATAAAAGTATTTATATATCTTTTCATTTTAGAAAGCATATTTAAAATAAATAATAATAAATTAAATTTTACTTTACCTTGTTAAATTAGAACTAAAATAATAATGATTAACATTAATAAATAAATATGATTAGCATTATGTAAAAAAATTATCGCATTTTATTAATATATTTTTAAAATTGATTTTTTTTAAAAAAATCATTGTCTTCCTTAATTTTTTAAAATTTACTTTCAGAAAATACCTTTCAAGGGGGCCATGGCATAGGCCTAATGGATAATTCGTTGTAGCAGTCACCTCTATTTCAAAAAATTTCTACGCTTCTCATAACTCAAAAATTATTCGATAATTAAAATTTGAAATTTCATGGACATTTAACAAAGCATTTAAAGAACATTTGATATGAAAATGTTATTTTTATACGCATCGATTGGCTTTTGAATCATTTAAATGTTTTGCATATAAAGTTATAAGTACATTTTTTGCATCCACGCATTCTATTTAAAGATATCATACCCCGTCTTGAACGAACTTCGAATGGTTATGCCCATTAAATTGTAAAATTCGATTTTTTTGAATTGTTACATTGTATAATTTTACTGACAAAGAAAGGGTTGTTTTAATCAGGGGACTTGATGTTAATATATATTGTAAATAAATACAAAGAGGACTGTTCTCCTTACGATTCCTTTTTCGTTTCAAAGATGCTTTTAAAGTGAACATCTATGTTCGGCAAAATGTTAATTTCTTCATTTGAGAAAAAGAGTGACTCTATATCGGCTTAAAATATAAAATTCAAACAATATAGCTAAAATTTGTATAATGAGTTTTCAATTTACAAATTTTAAATTTGTAAGAAACGAATCTTAACTAACTTACATTTTTTAAAAATTTGCCATGTCTGCCTATGTTTTCGTTTCTCTGCTAAGCTGAAATCAGACTTTTAAGATTTCTGTTTCGCCCTGCATATTGGCATACGCCTGCAACGAAATAACCTTTCACACAGTTAATTAATCATTGTTTACAACGTATCATTATTGTTTATCACATATCATTATTGTTTACCACATATTTGCTTTTATAGTTATGAATTTTAAGTCACAAAAATAGACACAAAAAATTAAGGAGTTAGGGGACCAAATTTCGAAAAATACGAGTTTTTTTTCCTTCTTATTTCTCAGGATTTATTTGACCGATTTTCACTTACATTTTGTATTTTGACATTTAAAATCGCATTCCTTCAGATGATGAAAAAATTGTATACCTTACATTTCTAAAGTTTTTTGTCTTTCATTAAATAAAATAACTTTATAAATACTACAAGTTATATTTTGCATAAAATTATCTTTAGTATTGTATTGATTGGAATTTTCAAAACTTTTTCAATTCGCTTGAAAAAAAAAATTGGGATATAGTGAAATACGCAAAAGTTAACATTAAGGGGTCCAAACGCACTCCTGAAAAAAAAACTGTTAAAACATTATTTCCAGATTGAAGCTATACTATATTATGGGGGTCAGATATCCGAAGCCATCGTAAAAAGGTATGTTTAATCAGAGAAAGTGCGTTTTTATGTCTAACTTAAAATATCATTTGCACTAATCAATTAGTATATTTGACGTCACCCTCTCGAACCATTAAGAATGAGTCCTAGAACATGAAGATCCGAACTTTAGATCAAAAGTTATTCCGGTGGGTCCATTTATTCAAAGTATATGTCAATATTGCTGATAATAGCAAAATATTTTTTCGTTTTGATGCCGAAAGGTAATTTAGCTGGGGGTTATCCATATATATATATGCTTTGATAACTTTATGGAGTGAACTGATGTTCACTTTCAATATTAATGCCAGATATAAATAAATAAAAACGTCTTCCGTTAATTATAATAATAGAAAAATGCATTTTCTTCAAACGAATTTTTGACGCTGTTGCGGAAAGCTACCTAAAATATTAATGTTTTGAAGGTATCGGACATCTCGCAATATCAAGCTTTCACTGTACTTTAATTTGCAAAAATACGAAAGAAATTTTGGTTTAAAGAATAAATATTTGCACTTAGGGAAAGTGTATTAAAATTATACTAAACTAGCTTTGATATAAGTTGCAAAAAATGTGCAAGAAAAAAAAATTAAAATCTCTATTTGAGAATTTTTTAATGTGTTTTTTTAAGACGCTTTTGTAAGTTTTATTAAATTTAATCTGTATTAATCGTCAATCTACTAATTAAAAAGAAAGGAAATAAACCTTGCAATGCATTTACAAAACAAAAATAACTTAATTCTAAATGATTAAATGAGAATATTTTTCTTTTTCATTTCATACAAAATTCTTGCTAAATAAATAGATAGAATTTACATTTTACCGAAATAAGTAAATAAATAATAACAAAAAAAAAAAAAAAATGAATAAGATTAACTTATTGCAAGACTTAAGGTATTTACTTCATTTTAGTACTGGTCATACAGATGATTTCTGATTTTAACACTAAAACCAGTAGTTTTGCTATTTTGAACCGAACTTAGAGTACAAGGGAACTTCTTGGTAAAGTTTTAGGACAAATTCACATACATGGAGGAAATCAGAATTGAAACAAGCTCACATTTGTAAAAAAAAAAAAAAAAAAAAAAAAAAAAAAAAAAAAAAAAAATGAAAATACTCCATGGTTAAGTCGAGGGCAAGATTATTCTCACAAAAGATCCCTCAACCAATGGAGGTATTTTATGTCAGTACAAACCGAGAGCAGTATATGAATTAACATGAGAATTCGAGCCCAAGTCTCATCAATAGCAAGTGAAATCACTTATCACATAAGTCATATCGGCTCTAGATTATTTATTATTTAAGTAGTAAAAGACAATGGAAAATTTAATATGCAGTATTATAAATTTCGTTACAATGTAAAAGCGCTATAAGTCGATCAAGGAATTTTGCCATTCCTCCATCTCACAATTTTAGAGAAAGTGGTGTCTATAATAATACAAAAAATAAATAAATAAAATTCTGCGTAAGAGAATACATTCTTATTTTTGTCAGGGTTTTTTAAAAAATTTTCTTGACAAGAAGATTACAATCCTGATTTGTATGTCCATTTTGTTAATCCTAATTTTTGTATTATATAAAAAAAAAATTATGTCTTTTCATGATTAGAAAAACTATTTCTGGTGGAATAGCACGTGCATTGTAACTACAGAATGACTGAGGTCCTCTTTATTATAGTTCACAAGACAACTTGGTAGTTATTATAAGTCTATTTTAATATTTTAACTCATATATGAGCAATTATAATTGAATTCATTAGCATATATAAATATATACACTATTTAAAAGCAAATTAAAAAAAAAAAGATTGTCAGAACAAACTTAGTTCTTCACTACTTCCAAATAATTTAAAAATCAAATTCTTTTCAATAAACCGTGTGGCATTTAACAAAATACTTTTCTTTATTGAATGCGGAGAAAGTGTACATGCATTATTATAGTCAGTCTCAAAAAGTGTGGTAACATGAGTACGATGGGGTAGGAGCTAGGACAGTCTTCCTCTCTCCCCCTGTGTTGAATAACTTTCCATATGGAAACAAACAAAAGAATTGTCCTTCAGAATTTCTGAGGAAAAGAGAACGGGAAGTTGGTGGTAAAGTGCAAGTAAAAAGAACACATTTTCTTCTTTAAGTTTTTAATTTATTCTCATTTAAAAAAAAATTAAATAAAAAAGCTAGATTTTTTTAAGTAATTATATTTCTTTTCAAGACGGTAGCGTTTTCCCGACGGCATTTAAGTCCTTCCCGATAGGGGGCAATGGCCCCTCTGACCACCTACTGGTGCCACCCTTGCCTGTATTCCACCAAATCACTATTCGTTACACGCCTAAAAATAATTCCCTTAAATAAAACATTTGAAAACCAAAATATTAATAATGGATAAAAGATAGAAATCATTGTAAATCATCTTATCTTAATGAAATACTCAAAAATTTCATTAATGAGGAATATTTTTTAATTAAAAAAATAATTTATTTACAACATACAAAATACATTTTCTTTAAAAACTATATACAATTAAAATCTAATTATGACAATTTATTAATCCATCCATATATAGTGTATCATTTTCATATGCTGAAGAAAATCACAGATCTAAAAAATAAAAGATCAGTTAAATATAAACAACTACACAGTTGATAAATCAAAATATATATAAAAATTCTTCATTGTTATAAAATTAACTGTTAAAAATTTACTATTTCCAGAAAATGGAAAGTGATAATAGAGTCATGAAATCGAAAAAACAACATAATTTCTTCGCAAGCTGCTCACGAATATTATAAACGAAGGCATGAAATTTCAGTTCTAAAGGTACTAGCCAGGCTTTTACTTGCGTCTATTTCACTGTATCAATATACATTTCAATATATTAATCACTGCTATTCAAATATATTCACAAAAAAAAATATTTTTTTTAAAATACATCAGAGCCGCTTCCCTTACCAATTTAAAAAAACAAAAAATAAAGCAACAAATCAACATATATTTTTTATTTCATTAATAAATACAAGGAACTAAAACAAAACATAATACACATGCTCTAAGTTGAAATATATGTTTTTCTTAACGCGTAAAAAATATTAAGTTTACCATTAGTTTAGTACCCCAAATTATCTTGGGTAAATGAAAAAATTTAAATATTAGACTTTGTATAGGTTATCTTTGTAATCTGAAAACTCCTCTGCATTACTTTCACTTTTGCTCGCGAACACCATTTTTTAAACTCTTTTTTTCTATCTAAATTCATCAACATATACAATTGTATAAAACACGTCTGCAGTCCCACAAATAGCAAAACTCTCAACCAAATATTGGCAAACTACCAATCACAGCAGATTATTAATATTTTTTGTTTTGCTTCCGGCCGAACAAAAACGTGATAGAACAAAACATATTGACGAACTCTGCTATGTTTACTCAGGATAATAAATATTTGCAATATATACATACCCGAGTTAAACTCAGGATAATCAGGGAAGCAGTTAAAGAACTTTTTCATGACCAAAATCATAAACGAATATAGAAAAGTTCAAACTTATTTATTGGAGAAAAAAAATCATTAATTTAAAATGCAGTTGCAATGAGGTTTCAATATCATCTATATATCATTAAAATAAGAAAAACAGAAATGTTCGCATGCTAAATTGTTATTAGTTAAATGCAGCCCTATTGTCAAACTCTGGGGGGGGGGGAGGCTTCATTTATAGAAATTCTGATTAAATTTTTCTAGTGAATTTCGGTCTTTGACGAAGCGATTTTAGTCATGTAAATGAAAACTCTGGGGAAAATATGGATGTTTGTTTTGAAAAACAATATTTTAAAAGACGAAACTTACTCGTCAGATTTGACTGACAACAGTGAGAGGAAATTTTATGACCTGCTATTGACAAGAAAAAAATTTCTGAAAACTGATAAAAATAAATTTTGTGCAATATGTAGCTTATCATATAAATTTCCACATATGTAGAAACTTCATTTTCGAATTTTTTGTTGATTTTCACACAGCACATCGGAATATAGAATAAACACATATCAGTAGCAATATTTTAAGCATTTATATTTTCAGAATTGTTAACACAAATAATGAATACATCAAATTAAAGAAAAATACAATAAACTTGCTTTTTCAGTTACTATTCAATGAATGGCTTTTTTGTTACACAAGTTCTTGCAGTGTCTTGGCCTGTGGGTGACAGTTTATTCACCCTTAATAAAATTGCCAAGATTCCCAGATATCATGTCATTTCTTTAATTGGAGTAGTTTCAAAGACACTATTTACAAACCACCAATTCTAAAAACACTGCAAGAACTTCAAAAACACATTTGTGCAAGGTTAGAAATTATTGAGAATGGTAAACTTCAAATTGTGTGGAATGAACATCATTATAGAATTAGATGTTTATTTTGCACAAAAAGGTTTCTCATGGAACATTTGAGACTGAACAAAAAAGTAATTTTTACTTTAATTTTGTAGATCACTTATTGTAATAGTTGCAAAAAGATAAATGTTTAAAATCCAGTTATACATCTGTTCTGAACCCATAATGCTGCAGGATGTGTAGCCAGATTTTTCAACAAAGAATAAGCACCTTTTAAGTACTTTTTAAGCATTCAAAAATATTTGTAATCATTTTCCAAAAAAAAAATCATAATTAGGATCTGTGCAGTAATAAAATTTTTCCCTATCGTTTAAAGTAAAACAAGCAACAAATAAATACAAATATAAAATCAATAAATTTCAAAAATTTTGCATAATCATGATAAAATAACTAGTTTCTGTTAAATATTGCAGAGAAAATTGGGAAAATCATGCATTTTTTGTAATTTAGGACGACAATCGATACAGCAAAGAAAAAATCTCTTTTAAAAGATAGAAAATTAAGCACTTTTTACAAACCTTGAAAAAAAAAAGCACCTTTAATGGCTTTTAAAAAACGTAAATCAAAAATAAGCACCTTTAAAAACACTACGGACCCTGTGCTATACAAATCAATTATACCCGTACATATCAATAACAATCAATATGAGTTATTTTTCAAAAAAGTTTTAAAATAGTATGTTTTTTTTAAAAAAAAATATAAGTGAATTGATCTGTCAAACAATAAAATTAAATCTATTTTTTATGTATATGGAAACTTTTATGGATTCTTTTCATATTATAATTATTGTAGTAGTACATTGGAATAGTATATTGTGTAGTAGTGTATTGAAGTAGGAAAATTTCCCTGTTCTTAAATTATAATTTAGTAATTAATATTTCTGATGAAAAATAACACCTTTAGTACTACGTGACTGAATTAAATCTTTCTACTTAAATCGAAATAAAAATATCCTTTCTCGATTCTGCATCTGTGAAGTTGCAAAATAAATTTGTATTTTAGAAAAATTTAAAAAAGACTGACACGTTGAAAAGGTACAAGTAAGAAAATAAAACTTACAAAAGTAGGAAGTCTTTTCATTTCACTCGTAATAGCGTCCCTAAAATCTTTTGGAGCAGTTAAATATTCAAGGCACAAATCTCCATCTATCAGACTCTAGAAAACATAATGAAAATATCAATTTTTAATCCTCTTATTAAATTTGGCTATCTTAAACTTTCAGCTAACCAGTATAACAATTAGACTATAATGGGTACAGGGGAAATTTGCTAAGGAGCTTTCTCAATGATTTTTTATTTTAATTTATTTACACAAGAATTCACAACAACAAAAGAAAAGTAAATGTACAGCATGTTAGTGCAAAAAGTATGAATTCAATTTTCAGACAAATTAACATTTGAACATGTCAACAACAATGGCCAGAATATCTATTCCTTTATATTGTTAAGTTTGTATGCTTTTTTTAGACTTAAAATAATATGTGATAATCAAGAACAAACTTTTCATATTATTACTAATGGAGTGAGAGAATATTTTTGCTGGAGTGGATAATTAACGTTTACATTTTAGAGGAACTTCTCCCCCTCTGACGTATGCAAGCATTGAACACCCGTTTGACAACTAAAGCGTGACGTAGCGACGTGTTAGACCAATCAACAAAATTTAGTAGTCAGTCTCATTATAGAGAGAAGCACAGAGAAGATCCCCCCTCCAGCAATCCGAAGCCAGACCTGACAGAGAGGACGCTGAAGGTACGATGCGGTGGATCCACCCGAGAATTCAAATGTCGCCAAAACGATAAGTTTGCATTAAATTTTTTTATTATTATTTAGTTAATTCAAAAAATTAATAATAACTTTCTTAATTGATCTGATAAGCAATGAAAACGTGATAAGTAATTAGTTCCCCCCATGTGCAAATTTTCCATTCTCTCCATTCCATGCGTTATTTAACTATTCTGCTTTTACAGATCTTTTTGTGTTTTAATGTGCTGACTTACTAATTTACTATCTACTTGTTGTTTAGTCAAAAGTAAAATATTAGTGCAATGTATACGATTTATGTATAAAGTTGTGTTAGCTTTGACTATTACCAAATAAAAACGTAATGTTGAAAAACACGTGGTGATTGATTGTTAATATCATAATAATCTAATTAGCTAAAAAATATTTTTTTCTAAAAATTAAAACTAAATTTTGACACAACGCAATTCAAATGATTTTTAGCCTGAATGAATTTTAATCAAATTAACCTGGATAATGATTCATGAAAATTACTAATTTATTAATAATGTTACTAATACTATACCGAAATTTCCAGTCATAACTGGAATCTAAGGTATAACAATATGCTGAAGGAGAAGTTCAATACAATTTTCGAAAATCATTCAAATGGTTGTCATATTCCTTATTAAAGATAACAGAAAAAAATTTCGTTGAGAAATCTAATAACACATGATGCACTTAGAGGAAGAAGTGATATTTAAGTGACCTGGAGTAAATGAGCATTTTTGACAATGTGCACAATCTTTATATTTATAGTATAGATAATAACTATTAAAAGTTTTGAGGCTCTATTTATTTGATTCCAAATTTTTTTATAAAGGAAGATATGTAATGATTTTTGTGTGTAACACATGCTTTTTAACATGGAGGATTTTAAATGTTTTTCAACAAATATAATTTTGTTTGAAAAGATAAAATAGACATTATATTTAAGCTTATAATCACAAAATAAAATTTTAGCTACATCAATTTGGAACAAACTGACATCAAGACATGTTTGTTTGAAAATTGCCCCAAAACAATCAGAAAGTGGCGGCATGAGCTCAACATTACAGGGTTGCCACTCAAATTGGGTTAAAAAAATTCCCTGTGTTTTTTTCTGTACATATTATACACAATATATTAAGAGGAAACACACTTTCAATGTGCTCTTGTGTGAGTTATATTGGGCTAACTATAATAAACTGAACTTTTTAATTGGCAATAAACTTTTTTAATTGCTGAAAAAACCTTCAGCAATTTTAAAAAACAACAACTTTTTAAAAAGGAACAGCTGAATATACCTAAATAATGCTAATGTAAATAAAATAGTTTAGTATAGTTGGAATATCATCCTTAAATATCCCATAGTTTGATTCACAGAATCTGAACATAAACGATACAAAAATTAAATGAAGTTATATTTAAAATTCAAAGAAACATTGCATATCGAGCAGTAAATTAAAACTATATACAAAAACGAAAATAATTTGCAAGATATTCCAAGTCCTAAACATCAAGGTGAACAATAATCCGGGGAGAAAAACGTAGGAAAGAAAATTTATGTACTCCCATTTCTCCTTCAAGAATTTACTCTTTGTAGCCTTTTGAAAATTGTATTAGTATAAATTTCTTTACCATTTCATTTTTGATAGCATTATAAATTGCATACACACTAAAACATTGCTACAACAATATCTAGGGGTCCAAATAAATATATTGTTGTAGAGAATATATCATTATATTGAACGAAAGCATACTTCGGGGATACAATAAGATTTTTAAAATTTTTTAATGTTATATATGTATTAACTATAAATCTATTTATATATCATATAAAAATTTAATTTGCTGAGCGGTAATTATAGATAAATATGAAATCAGATAGGACATCTGTGACTTCTTAAGAGAGGCAATTCTAAGAATGGAAGGAGTGGTCTATGTACATCAAGTATTAAAATCTGAATACTTTCATTGTTTTGAAAAGAAATAAGATGAGTACATAATCAGCAATGAGTCTTTTCTTGTCAGAAAAGACAGGACCAAAACGTGAAATTCAAAAACCTTTTGGGGCTCTGATTTTTTAAAACAAAATTCAAGGATTTTCAAGTACCGTGGGAAAGGTGTTTTAAGTGTGTGTCGAAATCTAAGAATACTGATGAGCCTCTTCTTTTTTTTCAATTCAAAAATAATCTAAAGAAAATAAAGGCAGGGTATCTGCTACATTTTAGATTTTCAAATTCATGATTTTTCATGACTAATTCCAAGAACTTTTCATGACTTAACGAAGTTACTATTTTCTCCCGACAAAAACAGAACAATAAATTTAAAAAGCATTATAATAACATTAAATGAAAGCAAATGAAATATAACTAAAACTGTTATAGTCTGCATCTTCATATTTATAGATATTAAATTTGAAAAACAGAGTAAAGTAAGAATTGAAGCGATAAAATAAGTGAAAAAAATACAAAAGCAAATAAGAATTTTTTTTCTCTATGGAATTGTATTCTAAAAATACTTTTCTTGCTTATCAGAAAGGAAAGAAATACGCCGGATTTTTCTGTTCCCATTTCGGAATAAAATTTTTTTTTTTGCCAATGACCGGCTTGCTTCAGTTAGAATTTTAAATTAATAAAATAAAAATAATAAAAAAACAAATAACAAAAATTTCGAAATCACAGAAGTTTAAAAGATAATTCACTCTAGAAATGTATTTTTTTGTTGTTGAAAGAAAACCATAATTTTTAGAGCATGATAAAAACAATCTATATTTGAATAAAATATGACTGTAAGTGGAGATTTTGTTACAAATTCAGATACTCGGAACATCATAAAACTGGGGNATTTGGAACAAGATGAAAGGGGGGGGAGGGGATTCCATTTTAAAAATTAGATTTTTGGTGAGGTGAATCCGTGACAAATTTTGTTCAATACCAAAATTCATGACTTTCCATGATTTCTCATGACTTTCCAGGCGCGCAGATATCCTATGAGTGATAATTACTAACTAAGCTACGGAATCAACAACACAAAGCAACACAAAAAATGTTTTTTTTTGATAGATTTTATTCATGACCTACAAAATATGATGGACAGCTGAAATTGTTTGGTCAGAAAAAGAGTCAAAATGGTAGAATATTTTTCAATTTGCATGGATCTCAACAAGTCTTTAAGAGAATTAAAAACTTCCTTTTGAATGCAATTATGAAATCCGTTTATCTAAAGATAGTTTTATATTAAAAAATAATTTAATAAGGGTCAAAAATGTTTTGAAGCGTATGATGCACACATTTTTACTCTATTTTAAACAATGCTAATTCAAATCGCCAATTCGCAAAAGGTGGGAACAATAACGTTAACAGCTAATTCTCAATTCTATACATGTTTATGTTATGTACACAAAATATTCACTACTCATGTCATCTACTTTTCTATTTAAATACTAACATTATAATAAATTTTTCATCAACTTTCAGGACACCAGATTATTTTAAACAATAAATTTATGGGATTAATAATTATAAAAAATATTATTTTAAAAATGGATAGTTAATTTTAAAGTACTTTTTTCAATCTATTCCTAGTTAAAACAACCATGTGATTTCATTCATTACTTTTTTTAGGCACTGATCAAAACACTAAATTGAACTTTGTAAACTTTTTTCCCTCAGTGCTATAAATTATCAATAAAAAAATAGCGATATAAGTATTGCTACCATTTGTAAAGAATATTACCATATAACCAACCTCTTTACTTTTATTTATAAACATCTAAATACTATTACATATTTTTTTTAAGTTTGATTGGCTCAGTTAACATCACGAACAATCAAAATTGGCTGGAATTTTTTTTAAAGGTGTTTATAGAAATCTTTTGCAATAATTTATGTTATTTCCTTTAATTCGGCAGAAATATAAATTTCAGTGTGAGTTAAATTTAATGTTAATTGTTGTCAGAGCTTAAAGTAAAAACTGTGTTATACTCTGAGCTTTCAAGAACTATTTTAATGACAAAATGTAAACAAAATCTGTTCAATAGTTCTTGAGAAATAGATATTTAAAAAGATAGCTTTTCCAACTCAAAACTATTTAACCAATTTTGTACATTTACACTAAGAGGCCCTAAGTTTTGACTACCTTAATTGAGACGATATTTTTTAGCTACTCCTCCATATTTTGACAATCAAAAATTCTTCAAAACAAAAGTACGTTTGTGTGTCCACTGTTATTATAATACTGCATTTTATATTTACCTGTTCTTCCTCATCATCACATATGTGTTCACCAACACAAAGAACAGTATTTGCTATCATATGCTTCTGAAGGTCTAATAAAAATGCTTCGCTCTACAATAAAAAAAAAAAGCATTAATTAAAAAAATATAGATTTGAATAAATAAATTAAGATTGAAATAATAAATATAGAAAATATAAGTTGAGTAAAATTGTATGATATACTTTTTTGAGTGCAATTTGTACTAAATTCAATGTACTTTTAACATCTTATTTAGATATTATTTAATGCTCTTTTTTAAAGGCTGAATTATCACATGAATTTTTCTTTTTTCAGCAAATGTATTATTGTATGTTATTCATGGCAGTGGTGGGATTCGAACCCACGCCTCCAAACGATCTGTGTATGAACGAATGGGTCCACTCTATAAACCGGTGTGATGTATGGGTGTGGCGGAAGTCAAATTCTTGGCCATAGATGGCGCCATTTGAAAACAAGAGCAATTGCACCCCAGCTGCCTTAATAGCTGACAACAATAACATCAAATAGATTGATTCAAATAAAATACAGTTTACACATGATGAGCATTAATTACATGAAATACATGCCCTACTTACACTTTTAGTGTTTTCTAACAATACACCAATAGAGCCAGAATAAGTCATATATAATAGACAAGGTCTTGCCATTTCATGTAGTTGTTCCAGATGTATTTTCACTATTTTCCCCACATTATATTTAGTCTGAATTTCCTGAAATGAAACACAATATATATTTATTGTTGCGTTTAAGTTACACACGGAGGGCAGTCACTCTCCAAACAATTTCTCAATTTCTTTAAAATTTTGTGCTCGATGCTCAGTTAGTTAACAACTATGATATATAATGAATCAATTTGAAATTCAAATTCCATATTTTAGGTTCACTCTTACAATTATAACAATGTAAAAAAAATTTTTTTTTTACATTGACACTCTCAAACAATTTTTCTATTTTTGTTTTGTTGCAGTTTAGGGTACCTTCATAAATGTCACACTTTTTTTTCAATGTTTCTGATTTCAATTCTCCCCCTTGTCACACTTACCTTTACCTATCTGTCACACGGTATTACATTAACCAAGCAGTTCAGAAACATGGTACAGATCACATTTCAAATTTTATTTTTAAACTTTAATGGGATGCCTGCAAGAGACAAAGTGTAGGTACCTTGAGCCTGAGTGGTTGTCAAAACATGGCATTGCTTACGTCAGCAACTGTTCTTTTCATTCTATTTAGAGCTAACTCACCCCGTCAAGTATCAATTCTCTTAATTGCACAGTAATTTTAATTCTTTCACCATATATTTCTTACTTAACACAAAGCCATGTAGAACACAAACCAATTATGCATCGAAGTTGCCAGGTACACAATATATATATATATATATCACATGTTACAATAAAACTCACCAACACAAAAATAAATCTATGAAGGAATTCAAATTAGATAAAAATATTTAAATGTTTTAATTTTCAATAATTACAAGATACAAATGTTTTTTATACTTTACAATTCAACAAGTTCAAAATTTAGTAAAATTATCTTCCTGCAAACCGAATTTTACTACCTTTTAAATTATGATTCCATATGTAAATAAAAAAGAGCTGGGAATACTTAAAAAAAATGTAGTTTTTTGTTTTAATCCACTTTTTTTCGACACATAATTTTGAATATAAAAAGCAATTTAATTCCTTTGATTATTTTACATTAAATAGATATGGCTGTAACAAAAAAGAATTAGATTTCTTAATTTTTCATTTAACTGAATACTATAAAAATTTTTTTCTTCATATTTTGAATAAGTTTGCTAAACTTTTTTTTTAAATACTAAATTACTATTTTAGACGCCCAGTGTCTGAGCGGTAGTGCTTCGCACTGTCTTGCCACAGGTCCCTGGTTCGATCCTCGGGCCGTGTAAGGTTGACTTAACCTTTCATCCCTTCAGTGGGTCGATAAATGAGTAACAAGCATGCTTGGGAACTAAACACTGGGGGTTCCGCGTTCGGCTGACCACCTGACTGGAACATCTGCTCCTGCATCCCAGAGCCCAAGGTCAAGAAAACTGAGATGGGCACAGTAGGCCTTGGCCCTTTATGAGCTGTTGTGCCACTGAGTTTAGTTTAAATTACTATTTAAGTACTATTTTTATACATTTGATAAATTTTAACAAAAATATTCTACATTTTTTTTAAATGACAAAAATAACTTAAGCATGTTTGTATTGACTGTTTTCTTTATTCATCAGAAATTGGACGAATCACTTTAGGTTTTTCAATAATTACTGTCGATAAAATTAACCACATGAAATTTGTTTCATTACCATAATTTTTCTAATTTTGCCAAGTACAGAAAAACACAGAATTATATGAATTCCACAGCTTCCAGAAAATTGGTTTTCTATTGTATAAATAAATGCAACATGTTTAAAATTCAAGAAACTTACAAGTTCTAATTGTTCAGATAAATCCTTTGACTGTTGGGATTCCAGAGTCATCTAAAGAAAGAAAAAATGTATTGCGTTGATCAAACTCTTTCTGGATAAAAATCATGCCAAAATAAATTAATGTAAAATACACTCTGTCAAAAATTTTATATCTATCTTCACTTTTGGAAAAAAAATGTACTTTATTTGATTCAAACAGTCAAATCCAAATTTTACTTACTTAAAGAACACAAAAACTTATACATGAATCTCCATTAAACCATAATTAAATATAGAAAATTGTAATCGAAACAAATAAACCATACCATGTTTTTAGAATGCATTATTATAGGATCATGTGAAATTGTTTGAAAAGTCATAAGAAAAACAGTACTATTTAACAAACAGAAGGAAATAAATTTGATAACCAATATTATAACGTTGAATTTAAAATACACCATCAAAAAAGGACTATTAGAAAAGGATATAAAAATATATAATTGCTTTATAATTATGAAGCATATAAAAACATATACAGACTTGGGCAAAAAAAAACATTTTTCAAAAATTAAGGATAATTTTTGGAACAGTATATACATTTATCCCAGACTACTCTTAAAGAGGGTAAATGAGAAACTAAAGAACACACAATTTGCATTACTTAAGTTAATGCTATTAATCTCAAATACTATTTCCAATTTCAGAACTGCTTTATTTAGGACAGAAAGTTTCAACAGTTTCCAGATTATTTTATGATTAGAGCATTGTACAACTCATAATAGTTAGAGATCAATGCAATGAAAATTTTTATAGTACTGTTGCATTAAAAAAAAAGAAACCATAATTAATTAGGAATATTCCCTCAAATCTATTTTTAAAAAAGTTCAGATTAAAAAAGAACACAGGAAATAATGTCGATATACATTTTTGCACACATTTAAATTCCATTATCTGATTACTGTGTTGTTGATTGAAATTATCATTTCTAAACAACTAAACTCCACCCAAGAAGATTTGTTATTGTATTTGCTGAAAATAAAAAAAGCATGTGACCCCTGAGGTTATCCGAATAAAAATTTGAAGATGTAAATTCTGAATTGAGTTTCTACATCATAAACTGACTGAATTCTCAAAGAGTTTGAAATAATGAATTCTGCAATTAAGGCTACTTGCCTGAACCATGTAAATAATTAGTGGACACTCCCTACTATCAATTTTAGAATTTTACTAGTTTTAATCATTGAAATAAAAATATGTTCAATAGGTTATTTTAAAATCAGCTCTTATATTCATGGAAAATGGAATGTTCTAGAAATAAAGAAAATCATATCATTCAGAAAAATCAGACGTATAAAATGATTTAAAAACAAAAATTTTACTGAATTTTGAATTCACTTGCATATTATACTGTTCTAATAAAAAAAAGTTTAGAATTCTAGGTTTTCTTCTACATTAAAAAAGTTTTTTTTTTTAAATGGTCGGAAAAAAACACATGGTCCTCAAACAATCTGGATAATTGGAAAATCTGGTAAATCCCCGCTCTGATAATTGGCGTCTAACTGTATGTAGTTATTCCAAGAATAATTCATTAGTTAAATTTACTTAAAGCGAGGGCTTACTCATTTGTAGAATGAGAATACATCAGCAAGAAAAATCCTAATTCCTCTGCTAATAGTTTTCACTAAACTGAATAATGTGACACAATAAAAAAAAGATACAACCTATGGCATAAAATAGCTTGAAAACTGATGAGTACATCAATAATATTTTGATTTTCGATTGTTCTTAAAAAAATTTATTTAGAGATGCTTCATGAAATAGTTATTGTGGGGAGCACAGGGTGCGTAGCCAAATCTTTTAACAAAACATAAGCACCCTTAAAGTACTTTTTAAGCACTATATACATTACCAAATTGCAAAATAATTTTCAAAGAGTTTACATGATCATGATAAAATAACTAGTTTCTGACAAAGAACTCTTTTCTTGATCATATTAGCCACTATAAAATGATCGAGAGACTTTTCAGTTCAATTTCAGAGGGTGAAAAATGAAGCCTGACAATGAGAATATCTTGCAAAATGCAGTAGAGTTGTACTCGAGAGTGCAAGAATCTCACCAAACCCAGCTTAGTAGTCACTCCCAAGTATTTCATCAAACATGTAACTCGATTGGTGTAATCATATGTTACGAACCGACGGCACGCTGAAATTGATTGTTGTTGAATGAATTGTGAAAACGTTAAATAGAACAATGTGAAAACCACGCTTTTGTATAATACGAAGAAAAAATCGACATGGTAAAGAAAAATTCTAATTCTTAAAAAGGGAAAATTAAGCGTCTTTAAAAAACACCCCATGAAAAAAGTACCTTTAAGGTCTTTTTAAAAAACAAAAATTGAAAATAAGCACCTTTAAGCACTTTTTAAAAAAGTTAGTAACTGTAAGCTGTAACTACACCATGCAAATTTTGTTTCTGTTCAAAAACTATCGTCTAGGTATAATTATTTTATGAATATACCAGTAATAGATATTTTAAATCATATAGTAGTTACATTAGTTATAAAAGATTATCATACCATCATAAAATTCCCAAAATTATCAACGGAAGCAAATGTATTTTCATTTAAACAAGCAACTGAAGTTGTTGGTATCACAGAATGCTCTTCAGCAACTAGATCTAATTCTTCACCACAGTCAGAGAGACGAAAAATTGAAACATTGTATTTCACATGGCCAACAATAATTAGATTATATTCAAGACTTGTACTAATTGATGTTATTTTATCAACCAGCTGGAATAAAAAAAAGTTAAATTGAAAGAAAAGCAAAACAATCAAAGGAATGAATTAATTTATATTAAAAACAATAAACACACACACTGTATGATCAACAGAAGTATTCAGAAGAAAGAGATCTAAATACTCAAGTTTCTTTCAGTCGAGCAGTGCTTTAAGAAAATCACTGATAGGCAATTCCACCATTTACGAATGTTGTATTTGGAGACTCAAAACTATAACACAGTCAACAAAATTCCAGCAGTTCTAATAATGTTTGTGAAAATAAGTCAGGCGTTATTTAAGCTTAATAAAATTTTAAGAAATTCTTTTTTGAAAATCAAAAACAGACCGTTACGGTATGTAACATATTATGTTATGCCCATAACATATTGTGTTTTGAATAGACACAATATTTGTGATATATTGAGTAGAGTGTTTTTCTTAATCATATTTAATATCACAAATTTTTAAGGTTTTTAATTTTTAGCTAGGAAAATTTTGAAATGTTTTATTTGATTTCTGATAACTAAAATAGGAATTCAGATGCAGCATTTACGCAGCATTTTTATTTAGTGTAAGTGGCAGCATAGATTAAAAGGGAAAATAGCAATGCTTTTTCCTTGGAATCATCCAGGTTGGCTTAATTGGGTTTTTCTTTTGGCAGGGGGGATGATACTTTTTGCGATATTATCTAGAATAACTGTTTTCAGACTTAAATTTTATTTCAAAAGAGAACAATTTTCCTTTAAAAGAAAATTTTCACAACAAAATTATTATTTCAATAGATTAATAAAATAAAATAATAACTTTAATACAAGGTCGAACCTCAATAAAATGAAATCGCTCAAAGTGAAATATCACTTTACACGAAACGCATGTTTGATTACGAGAGTCAAGAATCAATTATTATTGTATTTTACATGCTTAACATAAACTTTTCAAGCTGATTATCGGTTAACATGAAAGGAAAAACAAAACAGCCCAGATAAAAAAGCATGTGAATAAAGTGCCAATTACTCATTTTGAGGAACATTATTTCTACTTTTCTCTTTTGTTAGTTAAATAAAATAGTTAAAAGTTTTTAAGCTTATTTTTATTTGTTTAGTACATAATAGCATCGTTTACATACATAAATGTAGTCCATAATATGCATTAATAGCACGTAATAAATTTTTTTTTATGATGTATTGGATAAGATGAAAAAAATATGGTAGTCCCGCCGATTTCGTTTAAACAAGGTTCGATTGTAGTATCTTTTCCTCCATTAATAAAAGGTTCCCAATTTATTTTCTTCCATGAATAGAGATAAAAGCAGATTTATGAGGTTAGAAAAATATGCTGTCTTTGTTAGGTGGTTATCGATTATTTTTTAAATTATTGAAATAATTTTTTCATATACAGTCAAAGCTCGATATCTCAAACTTGAAGGGAGAGGAGATAAAATTCGAGATATCGAAAATTCGAATTATCGAAAATCGTATGTTATCGATGGTAGAATAAAGAAAAATGCTCTTTACATACCTTATTTACTATTCCATATTCATTCTAAAAACACTTTTTACACTTTTATTTAAAAAAAGATTAAATTGTTGTTTGCTTTAGAGATGTGAAAGAAAGTTTGTCTATAACACTTTCTAAGTGGACTATAGCTTTAAATGTCTCCTCTGACTATAGCTTTAAATGTCTGACATATTCGGCTGCCTCTCAGTAAATCTCCTTACAGTTTCCACTGCAGAAAGTGCATTCGTGCTTAATAGTAACATTGGGCGGTAAATCTTCGATTTCCTCGTTCTCTTCTTCTGATAGTTCACAAGAAGCTTTCGTTTGAGCAATGACATCATTGTCATCCCACTGACCACACACTGTTACTACATCATCTACGTTTACAAAGTCATGAAATTCGATGTCATCAAGCTTCATGAGACCGGTCAATCTGTTCCAATCATTTTCGGTGTAGTTTTCAGCAGAATTAACGATATTGATTGCTTGACTACTTTCGTGGTTTTTAATGAATCCATACTCTTTGAAGCCATTCATTATCATAGAGGAAGACTCATCATTCCATGCCTTGTCAGCCATTCTTAAAACTTTTTATTTTTTTTTGGAATATTTTTTTAATTTTAGAAAAAAAATCTACACTATTTATGGAAAAAAATTCAAATTATCGAATGATTAGAAAAAAAATTTCGTGAAATCAAGTTTTTTTTAACATTGAGTGTATAGGAAATTTGAAGGGAATTTTTCGAGACATCTTCAAGATATTGAAAAATTCGTGAAATCGAGGTTCGACTGTATTTTAAAAAATATTTTAATTTTTTTGTTGTAACAAAGACAGACCCTTTACCAGCCAACATTTTACAGAACTGCTAGTTATTTAATGTTATTCATTATAATTACTTGATTTGCTTTAACAAAACTTTCTTTTTTAGAAAATTACAGAATTATCATATATGAGATTAACATTAAATCTGTATTAAGTTGGTTTTTTAATTTCTCAGAATCCTACTTATTATAGCTTATTTAGAGTAATGGATGTCTTTTAAGAGTTATAAAGGTGTGAAATTGGGGCAGCCATACCTAAACATCTCAATTTGCACCATGTGCAGATACCTAAAAATGTAAGTTAAGTTGTTCTCTGCTGCATTTATAATGGAAATAACCACAAAATTTAAGTAGGATATTCACTGGGGATAGAAACAAGGCCAGTGGCGTACGCAGAATTTTTTCAAGGGGGGTGTTCATAATTTTCTGAAACTACTAAAAGAAACTCGAGTCTGTAATAAAGCACTATTATTTCCCTAATTTAGACAGCTAGATAATTATTTAGACAACATTGTTTAGTTAAATTTTGATTTGATTTTTTAAGTTTAGGAACATAATGTAATATCTTTTGAAAAAAGTCCAATGTCAAATGGGTGGGAAGTAACATTTTGAGGGTCACTTTCACAATCATCAGATTTTGTTATGCTAGAAACGTTTTCTTCAACGGAAGTATCACATTTCTGTACAACAGAAAAACTTTCATTGGTACTAGATGCTGTCACCTCACTAATTTCAGGTCGTGATTTTTTCTCAAAATAATTAAAAATTGTTAAATTCTTGCGTTTTGACATCCTAAAGATCCAAGAACAGTAAATATATATATATATATATATATATTGGCACAGAAATATCCGCTAAGCTAGGATCTCAAAGTTTCGAGCTGGAATGAATAACTTCAACGAGCACAGTATCTCCAATGGTATTGTTACTGATCGAAATAGTGACGACGACAGGTTCGGCGATTGAATGAACTTTTTGTTAAGACAAAACAAAACAGATTTAGCGACAAGCGGCAGAGATAACTATTAGTCTGACTAACTAACTCCACTGCACTCCGTTCCCTCCTCTTTTATATAATTTTTCACAGCATCTCCAAAATTCTCGAATTGTCTCAAGACGACAGAACGTCTAGGATTCCAGAATCATCGCGTAAAGACCTCGCGAATGACAGCTGGTCTCGAAAACTATACTGGCAGGACAGAAAGGAACAAGTCCGTAACAGTATCACGTGAATTTGGTTTCAAAAGTAGAACCCTATTATAGTAAATGTTTTTTCAGTATTCTGAGAAATACCGTGAGAAAAAAAAAGTAAGCATAAGGCAAATAAAAATATATAGTCTTAAAAAATAATAGCACGCATAATTTCTACTAAACTTTCTATTTTTGCCATTTTATCTGAGCTCAAGGGGGGTGTTTAAACCCCTAAACCCCTCCCTTGCGTACGCCACTGAACAAGGCTTTTTGTTACATTATCAAGCGGGCAGAAACAGGCTCTAAATATTTATGCCGAGACTTTCAGACTTTCTAGAGTTAAGAGCATTTTGCATTCGGGCCCTGTGCTACCTTGTTAACTCATCGATTTGGCTGAAAGCAGATGCTTGGTTGAGCGCACATGCCTATCTATCCAGACAGGAATAGTCCAGGTGGTGAACCTGGAACCATCTACGAAAATGCATTTGGACGAGTCATCCAAGTGACCAATAATGGAATCGAGACAATAAATGACTTGGTTATTCTCGAGGGCGCTACCAGGCTTTGCTGCTGTACCAATTCAGTTAATGAAGAGCTTCTTATTCTTGTAGCCCGTCTCCACGGATTAAAACAACAGCAATACCAGGGGTCTGTCCAGGCCAAATTTACTACTGTTTAGCGGTACCTTCACAAATTCAACTTTAGGAAAAACTGTAGTTTCACAAAACACTTTTTCTTAAAATTTTATTTTTTGTATCCCATAAGAAACGATAAATCAATATTTTTATTATATTTTTGTGTTGATTTTTTTATATAATTTTCTCAAATTATGTATAATTTTTCACAAAATAGGTACCTCTCAGAAAAACCTAGACAAACCCCTGAATACAGAGGATGAATCTGTTTTGGAATTGAACACTTGTGGAGATGATGACCTTAGTCAAAACTACATCTTCAACAGAAAAATCTGACTCAGATTCCGATGTGGAGTGTAAGAAGATAATGAACTTCAACTCAGTTGTCTTGTGTACACATCCCTTTAGAGGGGCTGATATCAAAACTGCTTAGTATAAGTGCAGTTTTTATAATATCTAAATATATCAATATAATACTTTATATTAATATATTTAATACTTATTACATAACCCTTCAACATTTGAATTTTGTGTAAAATACATTTATTGGTGGCAGCAAATTAAAGCCGAAATTTTAAAAACAAATAGAATTCTTATAAGACCTTGATGAGGACTGGAGCATGGTCATTTCTCTAAGTGACCTTAAATTTATTGTTTTAAATATTTTTAAGAAGTGTTAAGAAAAAAGTACTTTAAATTCTAATTCATTAAAATGTTAATACACTATCTTTTTCCTGTAGCTCATAACAGGAAGAATCATATGCCTGTTATTGTGAGGAACATAGTTATCTATTATTAATGTATTATTACCTCCTTTTTGCTTAAAAGTTCCAGTCTCTTATTATTCAAACAGTATAATCCAATATAGATTCCTTCAGCTATTAAGATAACACCGTTATATTCACAGATAGTTGTGGGTTGACCATCTAAGACAGTTTTGTCTAACCAATTTAAACTTGATTTCATGGAATACCTTTCGAAGGCATCTGTAAATCCATAGGATATTTCATACGTGAGAGCCATGGGTATTCCCCTTCTATTAAGTTCTTCAAATTCTAGCAAAGCACCTACAATAAGAAAGCCGCCTTCTGGAGAACTATTTATGGTGCAAACACTAGAAATAAAAAAAAAAAAAATAGATAAATTTGTTCTAAGTATGGTCCACACAATAGAATTAAAATGTAATATAATTGTTAAAATATGGTGCACATATTTAAAATAAAAAGAAATAAATATCCTACACGGTCAGGAAAATCTGCAAAAGTCAGGATATTCTAAAATTAAGGTAAAAAGTCAGGATTTTTCTTACATATTCATAAAGTTAGGAAAATAATAAAAAAAACTATAGTTCATTCAAAGACTGAGAGGCAAAAATAAAATTTCAAGGAAAAATTCTGTAATTCAAAATATGTAATTTCCTCATAATAACAATCCTCTTTCCCTGGTAGAACCTGTCCTGTTAGCAATTTTCCTCCTGTTTATCCAATGAAAAGGAATTTTTGATAGGGTTGCTAGGTTTATTGCTCTTTGTGTGAATAACTGGTTTATGAGCAGAGTATACTAACATATCTGGTAGCAACAGTTTTCCAAAAAAGTTCTGCCAAATCAGGTGGCTGGAAAATCTTCCTTGTGTGGAGCGGGCCATATTAAATTTTGACAGCATTAAAAGGTACATATAAGCGAAATGTTTTTTTCAGACAGCCGGAATCTCAATAAAAAATGTCTAAGACTGTGTTAAGGATCCGATAATGCTACCAAAATTAGCATTCTTTAAGCTAATTTCTGAAGAATTTCAACCTTTTCTTTTAAATTTTGAGACCTCCAAACCTCTCAGTCCATACTTATATTCTAGTATATTGGAAGTAACACAAAATTTTTTGCGGCGTTGTGTAAAAAAGTCAGTTATAGACAATGCTACAACTGCAAAAAAAAAAAAGCAAGTATTGACTTAACAAGCAATGACAATCTATTAAGTGTTAATAATGCGAATATAGGTTTTGCAGCAAGTAAATATCTGAACATGATAAAAATTAATGAAAAGAAAAGGGATATTTCAAGTTAGAATGTCGAAAATTCCTTTTGACGACGGTCGAAAAAATACTCGAAAAAAGTCCATTGTTGTGCAGTATGACCATATATGGCAACGTTACTTTTAAAAAGTAACGAGTAAAAGTACAAGTATTTTTAAAAAAAGTAACGAGTAAAAAGTAAATATCTTGTATTTTAAAAAGTAACGAGTAAAAAGTACAAGTAAAAGTACAAGTACTAAACAAAAAAAGTAACGATTTAAAAGTACATTTCTAGGAAATCGAAAATTCAAAGTAACCTAAAATTTTATTGAATAATATTCTTATGTTCTTTAATGTTTTTGCAAAATTGTTGTTATTTATTTAATTATTTTTAATTTTGAAAGTTATGGACATTAATTTATTTTTAAATTCGGAAGAATATTATAATATAATTTTATAATATAATCGTATAATATAATTTTAAAATCAAATATAATTTTAATATCAAACTTTTTATGGATTTGCACGAAAAAGAAATTTTATCTATTGATTTTAATTTTTAGTTTATTATTTTTATTTATTTAAATTACCATTGATTTAAAATTGTTTTACTCTATAGAAACGCGTTTTAAAAGCACAAAAATAAACAAAGCAAACATGGGGTTTCAGATAGCTTTGTGATCTTTGAGCTGGTAAAAAATAATTGAATGTGCAGTATAAGTTGAAACAGAACAGTCTACAGTCCTATTTGTAACAATGGCTAATGCTGAAGTCATGCGAGAAAATCATTTTCCGAACATTCCTGCCAAACGGAATGATTAAAATTTGTAAGCGAATTTTAGTATCAGCGTCTAAATTAATACCTTCGAGTTTTCAAGAGTTAAAATAGTAAAATAGTTTTCAGTCGCACAAATAGTTCCGAAGTTCTTAGAGATTTGACTGGGCGTTGTTTGACAAGGTCGGGCATAGACATAATTTTAGGAAAAAATGTACTAGATAAAAATGTATTTAGTAAAAAATGTATTAAGACAAAAATGTATTATTAGTGAGATCAAAAAGAAAATTGAAAAACTTAATAACAAAATCCAACAATTTTTATTTAAAATGTATTAAACAAATGCATAAAACTCGAAAATGAATGAAAATAACTTCTTAATTAATATTTTTATTCATTTTGTAAAATAATTGCATTTTGACAGCACTTTTTTTTATTTTTTTTTTTAGAAAGCTTACCGAGTTTTAGAAAAAAGTAACGATTTCATTCGACATTTCCGTTACAAATACTTGTACTTTTTCCCAAAAAAAGTAACGAAAGTACAAGTAAAAGTACTAAATTTAAAAAGTAACGAAGTACAAGTAAAAGTACGTACTTTTTACTTGTACCGCCGGTACAAGTAAAGAAAGTAAAAGTACTGCCATATATGAGTATGACACGTGGCATTTCAAGTTTAGTTCCAGAATTGATTATTCAACATCCATCCATTGCTCAACAAAGGATGGATACCTGTCTGGAAATTCTCCATGTTAATAACTGGGTAGCTGAAACAACAGCAGAAAAAGCAAAAAAGGAATTTTTACTGTTTTGTGATGCTGCCAAAAAAAAAGAAGAGCAAAAGAGATTCTTAGAGTTTAATCCACAGCAACAGAGATTAGATAATTTTTTTTCGAAATATTTGAGCTGAGAAAAAAAAATTGAAAATTTGTGGGAGGTTATAAAAATTGTTCTTATCCTCTCTCATGGTAACGCAACAGTGGAAGGGTAGGGGGGTTTCAATCAATAAAAGCTTATTGGTTGAAAACCTCAATGAAGATTGTTCACAAAGGCGTGTGTATGATTATGTTTCATTTATAAATGGAATAAAAAACAGACAGTAATGAAAAAATGCTAGATGCTATAAAAGGATCTAGAACAAGATGGAGACATGCATTAGAAGCCAAGAAAAACAAAGAGAATAAAAAAGCTGAAATTTCTAGAAAACGAATAAAAGAAAAGATAGATGATTTGAAATTAAGAAAATCTAAATTGACAAAAACTGCTGCTACAGAACTGGATGTTCTTGATTCAGAAATTGTCAAACAACAAAATATGTTGAGAAATATTATATGACATAGGAGCCCCTGAGTTTCTCCGGAACCTTACAGTATTACAGAAATAAATTTAAAAATACTGAAAAAAAAAGAAGATATTTTTGATTTTATTTTTCTCACAAGTTGTATAATTTTTCAATCTGAATTTTTATTTGTATATAATTAACTTTTCTTGACTTTTTTACCCTTTATATTTCAATATTATCTTTTAAAAGAAAAGTCAGTTTGAAGTGAATTGGTGATTTTTAAAAATTAATAATTTAATGTAACAAATGTTCTAGTATGTTTTAAGAGTAAATATTATTAGAGGATACTGATACATATCTCACAGACTTGATTAACCCTTTATATCCTGACGACACTCATGCATTTGGTTCCACTTAACATTAAATAAAATAATCTTTCCATAATCCAACAGATTATCTTGATCTTTTTATTTAAATAGTTTTCGTATCTAACTACAAAAACACACTAAAAGTTTAATCTAATCATGATAATTAAAAATATGTTTCACGTGTTCATATGTTATTTAAAAATATGTAAGTTTTCTGAAAATGTAATTTGGGATATAAAGTGCAATTACGCAATTCCACTTTAATATATAAGTGTTTATCCTATTCAATATATGATAGTTATGACTTAGTAGCATATTATTACTAATTGAAACTGCAATGTTAAAAATTTTGTTGGAGTGGGAAACGGCGGGTTATTATTTATTAAATTATATTAAGCAGTTAAAATTTATTAAATTAAAAAATTTGCTAAATTAAAACTTATTAAATTAAATTATAAACTTCTAAAAATTTATAAAAAGGCTCTAAAATTAGAAAAAAATTGCCCCAAAACCTCAAGAAGTGTCCTAAAATGAAACATTACTTTCCAAAATGTCAAAAATTGACTTAAAATAAAACAAAAATGACAAAAAAAAAGGAACTAAAAACACAAAAAAAATTACCCTGACAGAACAAAAAGTTAAAGAATGCAAATGTCATCAGATTCTGTGTAATAATGATAACTGGATCTATGCCTAAATGAAGTAATACATATTATAAAAGAGTGTCCACTTGTTTTAATTAAAGATAAATTTCTGGACAATTTTTTTTTCAATATGCAACATGTTACTGTAAATTAATATAACTCATTTATTTTACAATTTCAATAATTTTGTCCAAAATGAAAATTGCAAAATTGGAAAGGAAATTTTTTGTTATTAGGTTTATTTTTTAAATATCTTAAATGCTAAAAAAATTTGTGTGGTCAGAATTATATTGGCAAAACCTGAGCGTCGGATTAATAAAGATGTTATACTTTGTTAGCCAAATTGGAGTAGAAAAATATGCATTTATTTAATGGAAATTCATAATATTTACAAGAGTTACTTTTTCTGAAAAGTTTGAAATAATTTTTTTTTTTGTGTGTCTAATATTAAAAGCTAAGTATTTAAAATTTAGTTAGTGCCATTTGTTTTTTAATTTTAATTCATTATGACAAATTTCATAGCTTAAAAATTTAATAGTTAATAACAAAAAGTTTCCCAATAAACTTTTTCGAAAAATTTACTAATGGTCACCAGCCAGTGCCATCTATAAACTTAAATACTATAAACAAATAAATAGAAGACAGGTCAAATCGGAGTATTTTTTATTTTTTAATGAAGTTTCCAATTCTGCCATAAAAATATTGGGGTTCCTTTAATGTGGCCACCCAACCCTTAGGGGGTTGAGCTAGGAAGGTAAAATATTATTGAATAGATATTTCGAAAATATTTCCGTCATGAATTTTCAGATTTTTTGAAATTCATCAAACTTTTGGGACACCCTGTGTATACACATACTATGAAAGCAGCTAACTTTCAACAAACCAAGTGGCATTAGAAAACAGGCAAGGCCAACACTCAGATAGTTTAATGACACTGATGGCTAGTCCATGGAGGAAGATTTAACAATAATAAAGGTGACTAATTAGAAGTAGCATGCATCTGATAGATTCTGATGGAAAAAACTTGTTGGGACAGTCTTACCTTGCTATGGGCTGTAGTGCCAAGAAGAAAAAGCCTTGGAACCTTTTTGATGTGCAACATGCATGGTATTAAATACATTATAGCTAAAAATAAATTGATTCAAACATCCAAATCACCACATAAGCAGCAATATCTAAATAATTTGCCACAAGACATCCTCAGGTTATATTAAATAATTTTGGATGAAAGTAAATATCAACGAAGTACAATGGGTATAATGCCGTTCATTTGAAAACAACAAAACAATGTAAGTGATTCCAGCAAGATTTCGAGAAAAACGGCTTAACAGCTATTTTTCTTACCATTTCATTACTATCGATTCAAAATATTTCAAATTTGTTATACACCTTCCTTGATATTACATTAAAAATATGAGAAAAAATTTGCTAATTTGTTTTACAAAAATAGTTTTAAACAAGTTAGAAGTTATAATTTTCTCCAACCGATTATACTTTGGTACAGCTTATTACAAATCAACATAACCCACGCATCACTTTACCTCTTTATGAGTTGCGTGCATGCCGCAGAATGACAAGTTTATTTTTATTTATTTATTTTCAAAATAACTTTAATACTTTTCTTGTATTTGTTTTCCTTATTTTCAATATTTGCATTGTATTTTTTAACTATATTTTTATCCACAACTTATCATAAATAAATATTGTGATAATATTACTGAATTATGATTAAAGAAATTTCCTTCAACTATACTTACAATATAGCATTTATTTACATAAAGTTACTTGATCAGTCATCAATTAAATCTTTGGATGTTTCAGATGTCTTTAAATTGTTCCAAAATAATAGTTGAGGTTCAGGAGTCAATCTTTAAGATTTTTTAGGATGTAATTTTTTTTTTATCAAGAGGAAGAGTGTCTCATGCAAGAGGTTTTAATAGTAATTTCCTCTCTACTGCAGATGATTGAAAGAAATCAACACCTATTTATCATCTGTGAAAGAATTTGGAAGAATTAATTTTAACCCCTCTTTGGAACATTATCTTCACCATTTAATTCATGTATGATAAAATGCAGCTAAATTGAATATTTTATCGTTGGTTTTGTAATAATTTCCAACGCATTTAGCCAGGGTTTCCAATATGCTTGCATATTGGTCATTTCCTGCTCAATCAGGTAGACAATATCAGTCAGTTTACTTCAGATGATGCAGACACCCGACATTTGTGCACCCTGCTCATATGTATGCATGCTTGTGCTAGGCGGTTTTAATTCTCGTTCATATTTTCAATTTTTCGTTTTTCAAAGCACTTAAACTAAGAAAAAAACATCAGTGTAAGATGTACCGTGTCTATGTGTGCCCTTAAATTTTTTTCAAAAAAAAAGTGCAGGGATATAACTGGCAGTAGCGCCTAACATTACGAAACATCTGTGTAGTGTAAACCGGGTAAAAGCAACTTTGATTAATCCAATTATTAATAATATCTGTTTTTCATATAGTTAATATTTTCATTCATCTTTTGTAACAATATTAAAATCTCACGATTTGAAAATTTATCCATCATCAATAAATATTATGATAAATGAAAAGTAAAAAAAATTAAAGCTATTATTTTAAATTAAAACATAGCTACATTATATCATTTTTTCAATTGTAATTTAGAGTTACGATATTTTCTGATTCAAATTAAAGATTTGCAATATGCAGCTATTCATACAAAGATGTCAAATATATAAAAATCTCAATTTCGAATTTTTTGTCGCTTACCTTGGTTCTTCAGTTGCATGTGGCAATCTCTACTAATAAAACAAAACTAAAGCCTATATTAAGAATTTCGATTTATTTTTACTCACCTCATTGCATATGCATTCCCTTCTAAAGGAACTGAGTATTTCTTTTTAAAATCAAAAGGGTCAATTATTTCAATTAAAGAAATCCACCCACTTTTCATTTCCTCGATCGGCTCATCTTCTCCATCCTCAGATATTAATGTCTACAAAATAATATTTAAAGTTACATACTTAAAATACCTCAGAAAAAGAATCTAAGTCACCAAATGTGAAAATTATCAAAATATCCATAAGATTACTTGATATGAAATAAAAAACATACATTATAAATGAAAGAATTATAATTAAAGAAAAATCTGAATTAGAACCCTGATCCTTGGACTAGCCATAAATAAGAAGCTATCTTTTTATATTGGGAATAAAAAAAATTCACAAGAAAATTAATAACTGAGGAATTGGATATAATTTCTGTTTTAGTTAAATTATAACTATAAGTTAAGGTTTTTAAATAAGTTATTTATGTTATATGCACGAAATATTCCTAACATATGCAAGATATTCTAGTAATCAAAAATATTACAACTAAAATGATATTTTCATTGAATTTTAGAACATCAGTTAAACTGAAAAACAATAAAGGAACAATGAGGAAAATTACTTGTGTTGCAATTGTTATAGAGATTTCATTTGTTTGATATTTCTCTCATTTTGCAGCAAAAGTATTTCATAAATACATAAGAAATTGCTTTAAAAAATTTAATAAATTATTTTAAGGATAGCTTAATAAGTTTAGCACTGTTTAAATGTGTTAAAATAACAGATTGCTTTTTCTAAAAAGATTTCATACAGTAAAATACAACTTATTTAGTGTGATATTTGTTAAGTATATTATCAAGTATAATGACCCCCACTAAAGGGTAAAACAATGAAATTTATTGGTGGCAGCTTTTTTCCATCCACTGGCAATTTTATGCTTTAAAAGTATTTTAATGATTTTGCTTCTAAATTGTTATAAAAAACTTTTTTCCTTAGTTTAAAAACATTTTATATTTATATTATTATTATAATATCACGTTTTTTTAAAAATAATAATTAAAAAAAAAGAAAAAATAATATATAATAAATTCGATTTTAGACTTGTTTCGCTCACAATCAATTTTAACTTTTGTATCAGTAATTTGTAACTTTTGTAAGAACTAACTCTGGAAAATTAACCCTTTTTATTGAACAAAATATTAAGTTCAGAATTTCTGCAACTCTCAGCTTTATCTCTCCATTCTTCTATTGTTCATTCTTCATTCATAGTTTCATTCATTCATATTTTTTATTTTCATCTTTTGCATTTGATTTTCCTTTACTCAATTTAAATTTTTTTTAGGTAAATCTTATCCTTCAAATCATTGTGAAATTTTTTTTAAAAATTGTACTGTCAAACTTCATTTTGGAAATACTGTTGAGGGTTTATTTACTATTTTTGGCATTACTCTTTCCGTTTAATTGTCATTTGGTACAGGTGCACCAAAGACAAAATTCTGCACCTGCCTTTTCATTTTTCATCAAAGAAACAAAACCAAACATCAGTCCAATCTTTGAGGAGTTTCTTTTTGTCAATAACTAATTCTATTTTACGGCCTCAATAAAAAGCAAAGCTAGCACGATCTTACAGTTTGTCCACAAAGTCTAATGCTGGCTGCTGCTATTAAAACAAGAATAGTGCATTTTAGAGAGGAGAGCTTTTATGATAGATTAGATAGGAAGTTTACCAGATTGTCTGACACAGCTGCCAGTAGGATACTAATTTAATCTGATTTAAAAACTTTTTTTAGAATCACATGGATTTGAAATGATGCTCTTTATGCAATTTACTTAAAATGATACTATTTACGCAATCGTTTGCTATTTTTTAGTACACAAAAAAAGAAGAAAGCAAACCTTGAACATATTCTGCAAATAAGGGTAATGCATTTTTTTTAAAGCTACGTTTTAATTTCAGGCTAGTTTCTCACCATTTACTCTATTTATTATGAGCGTTAACTGATTTTAAAATGGTTTAATTTTTAAATTTTCATATTATTGCAACTAGGATGAAATCTAAAACTATCAACAATAATTTTTTATCAACATTCATCAAAACATCTGAAGTTATCAAAGTTTGTTTTACTAATATTTTCTTATTTTTATTTTAAGTTAACCTCAATAATTTTCTCACCATTTATTGAAAAATAATTCTGGCTGTTTTTATTAGCAAATTTATTTTTACTTTTTCTGTCTTTCTTAAAAATCAATATACAATGAATAGCAAACTTTACAGATGAGTTATTTATCATTAAAATGTGTACATAGAATTAATTTTATAAAACTTTATCTTTTATTTTTACCAACCGTTATTCATAGAAACAATAATTTCAAATTAACTTCTTTGAGTATTTAGACTAATAGCGATTAAATTCCCCCCAAAATAATAAAACACAAAAAAGCACATAAATTTTTTGAAAAACTTTTCTGAAATCGAATCTTTTAAAAAACTGAAATGATAAAAAAAAGAAATGCTATAAACAATGCTTCAGGCGCGAATTCTCATTTTTCTTCATTCTAGGGGTAACACAACTGATCACAGAAAAAAAAATATTCCCTTTCTTTCGCAGATCCAAGCCATAACCACAATACTAATGTCCTAAACAGGGATCCCACATTCCTACTTGAAATAGTTATACCTCGTAACCACAGTCACTGCCACGAGTCCAGATAAATGGCTAGGGAAGTTGTTTACATAGACAAACTATAAAAGATGCTGAAACAGACTGTCAGTAAAAAGGGGCAGGAAAAGCCATTAAAGAACATCATAACAGACGATAATGAAAAAATAAAATTTTTTCATTTAAGCAGGACTGAAAAAAAAAATTAGGATTGAATTTTATTATGCTTAAATTTAGCCTATTGAAAGATGTCATATAGGAAATTCATTACGATACAAAATCGCAAACATTTAATTTAAAAATAAGCAGAAGTTATTAAAAGTTTTTTCGTATGCATATTATGCGAGTGCATTTCCAGGAACTAAGGAGAGAAGATGGGAGAACAAAAAGAGGCGGTGAGTGGCGAAAAATAGTGATATTTTTTTGGTATCCATTTTATTTTACTTAGTCGCCACTAATAAATCAATCTCAAATATAATCCTGGCAAAAATTGTTATATGTTTTAGCAAATTATTTTTGGCTGGGTAGAAGCTTATTGTGAAGATAACGCTTGGTTTTTATAAATTGCACCCTCACATGTCGATAAGAAGAGGAAAGGTATTGTATATTGAACCCTTTTCTAAATTATCACAGACCCTTATTCATATGTTGTTAGGAGTAAGCGTTATGATTGAAGTAGTTTCCTAGTCCCATATTTTGATGTGAATGACCATCACTCAATAAGGTAATAATCAATAGACCTTTCAAAAATTATTGATATTTTAAAATGAATTTTAAAGTAAATAAGAAAAATATAGAAAGTTACAAAAATTTTGTAAGCTTTTAAACTATGTTGAATATTTAACTACGAATTTCGTTAATCAAGAAAATACGATAATACAGTGGAACCTGTAAAAGTGACCACCTGGGTAAAGTGAACGCCTGAGTAAGGTGACCATTTTCTACAAGTTTTATTTCAAGAGTCCTTTTTAAAGAGTCTTCGTAAAGTGACCACCTCTATANTTAAAGAAAAATGCCCTATAAATCTAAAAAAATGCTCTAAAGGACGAAAAATGTCCAAAAATGCAAATGTCATCAAAATCTGGGCCTTAGTAATAATCAATAGACCTTTCAAAAATTATTGATATTTTAAAATGAATTTTAAAGCAAATAATAGAAATATAGAAAGTTACAAAAATTTTGTAAGCTTTTAAACTATGATGAATATTTAACTACGAATTTCGTTAATCAAGAAAATACGATAATATTTAAAAATTTTTTCTGTAAATTAAACATTGTAGCTCATGTTTAAATGTAATGTCAAAAGTAAATTTAGTAAAAATAAATATAAATGTTGTAATCAATTTAAATTTAGAGCATTTATAAAGTGTATAAAATTTGAAATTTTTTTCTCTCCCTAAATTTTAGTTTATAATATCAACTGCATTTTAAAATAAAATGTTCTCAGTAATTTCAGTTGAAACTTGATTATCTTAAAAAATATATTTTTTTCAGATTGATTGCTTGAATGTAAAGTTTTATGCCACAAGATCCAAAGGAGGATATGGTGCGCCAAACTTGTCAAAGCAGATCAAAGGCGCACACTACAATTTCATCTTTATAAAATAAATGAAACCAATAAAATAATTAATCACAGACACGTACACTTAAAAGTCAATAAAATTAGATAAAAGGCATAATTACATAAAATACACAAAAAATGTAAAACGGTACATGGGTAAGAAATAAGAATGAATAAAATCAGATAAAACAGTCATGCACAATATAAAATATCTATAGCTAGCAGAAATGTGAAAATGTTGGGATGATGGATTAATTATTTTTCTTCTGGTTACATGGACTTAGCTAACAGCATGGATGCCCACAACTGACCCTCTGAGTTAGAAAAAATAGTATTTTAAGGTATTCATAAAAACTTTTGCAATATTTTATGCTAATGCCAGAGTTGACTGGATTAAAATAAATGGTTATATATTTATAAAAATGCTTTTAGTTTGAATAGATCCAAATGACAAATACCAAATTTTTCATAAAAATTTCTCACTTTTAGGTTTAATAGCTAATATGAACTTACATTATTCTAAATAAAAAGAAATATGTAATTTTTAAATGTTTACAGATCATTGCATTACTACAAAAGTATCGATACGTACTTACTATGGTAAACAAAAACTTACAATTTTGGACATAACATGATAAACTGGTATCCCAAAAGGCACCAAAGTAACAAGCAGTCATTTAATTAATATATTATTAAATTTATTAATTAATAATTGTATATACTGATATTCTTGATTTATTTTTTTCCTTAGTGTATAATTTTTTCTTGGTATTATTTTCCTTTATTTTTTTCATTCATTAACTTATTGTTATTACTATTTACTATTGTATTATTTATTAGCGTGAGCTAGCTGGGATATTTTGAATTTTTTTTGTGCAGCTGCTGTTATGTTGCTAATATGGTTGCAATAGTGCAAAAGTACCAAAATATCTTTATAAAATAAATCAATGTAAGCAAGTTTAAGGTTTTTTAAATTTTTTTTCACTATACTATGTTTTCTAAAATCTAAAGGATGAATGGGTTGGAGGAAATGCTTTATGAATTTTAAACTTTTTTTTTTTAAATTATCAGTGCAAACATTATTACATTATATATACATTATATTTTCATTGATTTTTGTAACATTTTCAAAGTGAATACTTTAGTAAAAACAAGCATTTTGACAGAAAATATTCAAAATTCATTAAAAAAATTTTAGTTGCATATTTTTTTAAATTTAATGCACCATTATGTTTATAAGCTTATATTGCTCCACTATATCCACTATGTTAAAATAAATAGTTTATTCTTTATTTATTACAAAACCATTAGTACTAAAAGACAATAATATTAATATTTCTATAAAATATACATAAAATACAATGTATTTACATAAAATATAATAGCATTTTATAAGCAGCCTTTTATCCATTATTTTCAAATTAATTTTCAATTCAAACTATTAAATCAAGCTTTCGATGTAAATACCATTGAAGTATAACATTTTCATATTGCACACAATCAGAGTATTAAAGTAATATGTAATATTTACGGAATATGTAATATTACGGAATTATGTAATATTTACGGAACAAAAAAAAAAAAGACATTTTAAAATTAAAATATTAATTATAGGAAACATTGATTCAGTTAACAAATGTTTTTATGAAAAACTTTTGAATAGTTTTGTTACCTTTAAATTGAGACTTTAAATATTATTTTAATTTTTTTTTTTTTCAATGCCCACCTGAGTTAACATTTTGTCAATTCAGGAATTTACAGGGCAGATTTGGTGGCCGCTCTTTCAAGGGCACCATATTAGGTGGGCCAACATTGCTCAAACAGCAAGGACAGGATAGTACAGAGAACGAAAGAACATCCAAGCCATGAGGGGATTCGAACCCAGAACCTTTCTGAAGCAAAAACAGTTCCCAGACCCCTACACAGTCTAGTCAGCATTATTTAACAGTTATCTTAAATTAAAAAAATGGCTTGAAAAAAAGGGAGAAAGAAACAGTTTTAGTTCAGACAAGTTTTTTCCAACTTTGATTAATGCCCAGACAGAATTATAAAATTACTCTAAAAATTTTGAATGTGAATTAAATTTAAACTTAATTCATATCACAGATCTAAGTTTAGATTCATTATTATTAGATTAATAACACATTTTGAAAACTGCTCTAACAGCAGAACTTAAAAACTCAAGTTAGTTTTTAGAAAAACAATTACTAGGTAAAGAAACAAGTAACGGAGGAATTAAACTAACCAAACACTAGTTTAAAATTTTTAACAAAAGAAGAAAAAAGGCAAATGGTTGATAACTATGTCTCTAAAATCCTTTTGAGTGGCCATTAAAAATTGCATTTTAGAAATAGAATTGTATATTAAGAAAATTAGAATAAGGAAACAAAATTCAGATTTTTTTAAAGTTTAAATTCTACCTAACCAGTCTTGCTATGGATTCTTTGTTTTGCTTAAATATTAGTTTTTATGCATTAAAAATTTACATTTAATCTATCAATAAAACTGCAAAAAGAAAAAAGGACATTTTATTTAAAAACAACCAACTATATGAAAAAAGCAATATTAAATGTATTACCAAGTCTCCTTTTTTTTTGTCGTTAATTTTTTTAGAAAATACTTTCTCTCTTTCTAGAACAATTATTTTTTTCCAACATTCATCAAGGATGATCTTGCATGGGGTATTTTCAAGTTTAAATTTGGATTGTGCAAACAGGTATCCAGATTCAGGGAGAGAAATAAAGCTGCAACAAAAAATAAACAATTACAAACCACACTATAAAGGAACACTAGAATCAGCTTAAATTTTTTTTGTTATTAAAAAGAGAAGTTGGCAAAAAATAAAACATATAGAAAATTAAAATATTATACAACTCATTGTTTCTTTTTTACAGCTTACACAATATTTAACTTTAAGAATTTCAATAAAACACAAATTTAATTTTATTAATGCTCTAAAGTTCAAATATAGTTAAGAAAAGTCAAAATTCTTGGTTTTAATTACACTCTCACAGTTACTTGTAAAAATTTCGAGTGTGCACACATAAAGTTAATTTTCAGAAAAAAAAATATATTTAGATAAGTTACAGCATGGTGGCAGTCATACGATGGACACAGGATCAGGCAAGACAACTAAAATTTTTTTATAATTTCCTATGAGCTGAACAATCAGTTTTCCCGATGAGCAGACCTAGTGCGTTCTCCAGAAGTCCACTTTTTCAGGACCACCACAATGGGTGAGATACCGTTGGCCATGTTAATTTGGACGTCTAGTTTCTGCCACACCAGATGGCAGCACCGAGACTCTATTTGGATACAAAAGTGCACTAGGAATTTAATTTTACCGGAAATGCCAAGAGCCAATAAGGCACTCCAGGTATCTTTTACATGTCACATAATCATACGACATGGCCGCTGAGGATTTTCTGGATCCTGCAAGACAACTAAAAAATTCTATATATTTTATTACCTCATATCGAAAGAACAGCAACAAATTAAACTAAAAACTATGTGCTTTTACTTTAAGGATTTTAAAAGAGAAAGATTGCCCAGATAACCTGTCTAACAAGAGATAATGTAACAATAATGATAAGCTAGAATATGTAATGAGAAGATTCTCATGGGATTTCTTTAAAGGAAAAACTTATAATTATTACATTATTTAATCTAAAACAGAGCTAAGATACTGGATGTGAATACTAATTATGAGAACAAGTTTCATTTTGAATATGGAATTAAGAAAGAGAATTTGAATAAAGAAATAACAAAAACATTTGTTAAAGTTTCTTATGTCACAATGCCTCTAATTGACAAAAAATTCGAAAAAATTGCAATAGATAGTGTAGGTGGTCGTAATTAATAAAATTCTACAAAAAGATATTTAACTTTAATAATTGGTTATCACACTCGATATATGCGTTGTTTGTCCAATCCTGAGTCCATCTGAAGTCTTCTAGGATAGTTCAAATATAGTAAGAGGGAAAAAAGATAATGAATTGGTTATGCCTGGTAATGAAGAACATTTTTTCTGGAAAACGAAGTCATGTTCGACAACAAAAGAGAAAAACAAAGTTTGGAATTACCCTTGGAGAGCATTTATCTAAAAAAAACAGGTGAGATGGGAATACTAATTATGAGAACAAGTTTTGTTTTGATAATGAATTAAGAAAGAGAGTTCAGACAAAGAACAAATAAAGAGATATCAGGGTTCATACAGAGATCAGAAGAAGAAATCCAAGGAGTCAAAAATTTTAAGGATTAATAAAAAATTAAAAAACTTTGCGTAAAAGATAACTAGACAGTTTTTTTTTTTAAAAATTAAAAAGCAGTTATTATAAGGAACTCTCAAAAATGTGTAGTTTGCATATTTTTTTCTTAGCCCTTTTGAAATAAATTTTGACTTTGTCAAACTTCATCAAGAAAAATAAATAAAGTTATCACCTTTACACATAAATACATTTTCCAGTTACAAATATTTTAATAAATCTTGTTAAAGTACAGATGTTAAAGATTAACATAAGAACCTACCAATCTTATATTTTTAAATTTGAATACATAAGAAAATCTAAGGCATTTTATACAATTTAAAAAAAAAAATCACAGTAAATTATTAATTAAGTTTATTTGACTTGTAACATGTAAAATTAAAATTTGCTGTTATTTCTTTCTTCTAACTCCTGCAATTAAATTTTTTTCTTTTAAAGTTTTTCTAAAACTAATAGATTTTGACAGCTAAGTCATATAATTAAATTTCCCTGTTTGGACAGTAAATTCATCAGCGTACTTAGTAAGTTCATCTATGCAACACAGTAACCTAAGGAGTTTCTAAGGATTAATTTAGAAATCTAAGTAGTTCCAAGTACTCCTTGGAGACTATTTTATTTCCAAGGAGTCTGTACGCACCCTGGATATATGTATGCATACATAAAGGGATGGCACGAATAGAGATTTGGACGAAGAGCAGAATATTCGCCTCTTCAGCCATATTTTATGTAAAATAAATATCAGTCATTACTGAAAAATAATCAAAACTTAGCTGTTGTATATTAGTATGGAGTAAACTGTATATATATATACTGTACATTGCTATGGCCTAAAGAGAAAAAAAAACTTGAAATGTTTAAGTGAATAAAGATAATTAGACATTAAGATAATTATAAATATTTGAGATAAGAAAAACTGACTGCTGGATAGAAACAAACAACTTTTTTTAAGTCATTTTTGTGTTTGAAAAGCCTCAAATTGTGCTCTGAAATCTGTGTGCTTGAGTTTTTATCCTAGAGAAAGTAGCACAAGTTTATCCCTTTGTTATGTTAGGTCACAGTAAAAAAAAATTAATAATTATAATTGGCTCATTAAGGTAGAGAAAATAAAATCTTTATCCCAGCAATTAAAGGGAAAATTATAAAATATTAATTAATGCACAACATGAAGCCAAAAATAGATTAAGAGACAGGAAGTGAATATTTAAGTGTGAGAAAGCATTTAATTTTGAATAAAGTAAGAAAAAGATTTAGATAAAGGAATAACAGTAGTTGAAGATTAGTTGTTACATCCCCCTGCCTGAAAAATTTATCAATTTGCAATACTTTCCCTACCATAGAATCACAATTAACAAGAAAAATAAAATAAAATTTGTAATCTTAACAATCAATGTATAAAAATACAATATACATTAATTACAGGTTAAAAAAAAATCTAATATGTCCATACTCTTGATGCAGAAGTTTCAAATTCCAACTCAGACATCCAATTGACAGCACTCAGAAACGATTAAAAACAATAGAAGAATCTTGAAGATGCACCTAATGATAGGTTGGTTTGGAAAAAAATTGGATATTTTTTAATACCCTATTGCGCAAGAGCAAATCACAATGTTACGAAAAATGAAATCCAACAATTTGATCAAGTGTTGAATTCTCTGACAATGAAGATGAATCAAGAAAATGAAATCAGTATGCAACTCTTTTATGTTTAATTGATGGCAGCTTTCCAGAAAACCAAATATTCTTTAGGATACACAGGAGAAAATAAAAAATTTGTCCCTTCCCTGCCCCCTCTCGATCTTCAAGGTCATAAAAGAAATATTGAAGTTTTCTCTTGACAAATGAGGAGAAACAAATCCTTTCCTCCTACATTTTCTTCTACTCAACTTCAATGATGAATCAAATTTCTGCTTTTTCTTCCTCGATCGTTCTAGTTCAAATTGGCGGGAAAACGGAGCAAAATTTCCCATGGTTTTCTGGATACCGGATTAATAGTTCCCTGCAGTATTGAATTTTTTTCCTAAAAATAAAATGCTACTCTCTAATTTTATAAATACTCGAAATCTTTGTTACAGCAATAAATGAATAATTAGATCAAGTATATATCAATGCATTAAAAATGTACATCAACACTATATCAAGTTCTCTCAATTTTGAAAAAATTAAAAAGTTTTAAATTTTTCTAAAAATTTTATGCTAATAAAAATTCAGTACTTACTCAAATCGATGATTTCTATATCCTAAAAGGCAGTGCTCTTTTTCTGGGAACAGAACATAATAATCGTAAGTAAATTCAGATATTAATGGAAAAAGGTGAAAAAAACCTCGGTAGTAACAAGTTATGAACTGCTTCTTCTTTGACATAGCTATGACCTGTAAAGAAGATGAATTTTGTAGAAATTTATTCGTAAAATTTGAATCGCTCATTTAAATAATAACTTTTCGAGGCACTCAAATTATGCCGATATATATATTATTATATTACTCAATTACATTTTAAACCTATTTTGAATGTATTTTCAGCAGTTATTGACATTGATTTTTACATAGCTCTTAGATATGGGAAATTCGAATCGCGCTTCTGATCGTTTACTTTTTAAGGCATTAATTCAATAGATTTTTTTTTTGGTCGGTCATTACTTTTGATTTCCTCATATTTTTTAAATCCCTATATTTTTTATACGATATTATTTATTACAACAATCAAATCTTGAAGCACGAAACATGCATTTAAGTAACTCCTTTTGGAAGAGTCCAATTAGCGTGATTTCGTCGTCGACCTATTTTCGGTAATTACTCCTAACGATTTCATGATACTTAATTTTTCTTTTAACGTGATGATGATTTACAAAATGTGAAAAAGGAAATACTTAGTGCGTTTCCTTCCCAACAAAATCCGAGAATATTGCCCATAATATTAGAATTAAAAAAAAACTACCTATTACAACAAACATATTAAAAAAATTACATTATTTTTTTGCTTCTGTAAACACAGCGTTTTTGTTACCTTAAATTAATAACATACATCGTTGTCATTATTGAAAGTGTCTTGCGAGAAGATATTAGTGCTACAGAGTTTTTAAAAAAATCATGTGAAAATCAACAGTAATATCTGCCAAAAAGAACTAAATCGAAAGGCCACAAGGATTTTGAGCAAATCTAATTTTTATTCTAATTTGGGTTCTAATTTTTATCGCGTCGTAACAATTGCGTATAAAAATTTTGGGATTTAAAAAACCACACGGATATCAGTAACAATAACAAAAAAAAACAGTGGTATTGCCATGCCAAAAAGTGACTTATAAATGCACAAACTGAATTTTGTGTGTTGTAATAATAGTGCATAAAAAAATATAGGGATTTAAAAGAAAAACATTGAAAAATTCATAGCAATAATAGCAGATAAAATAATTGAATGATGGTACTGACACAAATCGAGCACATAAAAAAATTATTGCTAAAAAAAATTCTCTCTATATATTTAAACGTCGTAATAAGGTGGGAATTTTAAAAGCCATGAGAAAATCAATTGCATTAACTGCATTGAAAAAAAGACCAAAACACGGATTTACGATGATATTTAGCGTATTAAAAAGTTATAACTGAAGAAGGCAATTCGAAATTTCAATGTCATATTAACTTATTAAAAATTGATGTGATCTAATTATAGCCAAATAAGAAAGGGGACAAATGTATCACATTTATTAAAAACTTTTTTTTTGACAAAATTACTGCTCTTAACAAAACTTTTCAAAATTATCAATTTTATACCTTCGTTTGCTTCAGTACTTGATTGATTCTAGTCAAAGTTATAAATTTTTTTTTCTTCGAGTTTATCCGAAGTTGCGTTCAATCAAATCTGCATAAAAAAAAGTCGTTATTGTGCATGAATGTGAACTTCGAAATAAAAAAGGGGGTGCAGATAAGGCTGGAATTAATGCCTTGTTAAGAAGATTTTGCATAACTAACAAAGTGAAATTTTTAAATTAGTGGAATTTTAAGAAAATTTTGTCGCAATACAAATTATTGACTCACAAAAGTTCTAAGATTAGCAGAAGAATCACATGCCTGGGTCTGTATATATATATATATATATCAAATATTAAAACTATTTTTCAAACAGTTTATAATTGTAATCTAGTTTAATACGTTACGTAGAACTAAATGAATTTTTGTGCAATTTAATACATAATAAATAATTTTTTAATTTGTGAAAACTAAAATCAATCGGAGAGTAATGTATGAATATACATATAGTATGAATTTATTAAGATATATTAAAATTGAAGTTTTGTTTCCAAGTCTTATGTAAAGGATGATAGTAGAACCTAGTCTTATAATTAAACAGTTAAAACATTTGAATCTTACAAACACATTTGAATAAATCAATCATGTACTAAGAATAATCTTAATTGTAAATACAATTCACAATTATAAATAGCATATTAATTTTCTTAAGCAATACATTTAAGTATGCAAACTCAAAAGAATGTCTTGATAATATACTAAAAATATTGATAAATAAATATTTTAAAATTCTTTACGAAACTAAAATAATATAAAAATAGTATTTTGTTTCCTTTTTCTTAAAGTAAATGCAATTTTTTTTAAACTATCTTGAACAACATTAAAGTTTATACAATTAAGTTTTAACTACTCATATAATGTCTTTAAATCAGTGTTTCCCTAACTTATGACTTTTGTGTACCTTTTCTAAATATTTTGTAACGCTGTGTACTACTAATAAAAAACTGAATGTATTTTTTACTATAAAAATTGCACAAAAGTTAAAAATCACAATTGGCTGTTGACACCACTAATTATTAACTGTTAACTCTCCAAAAAATAACCAATAGAAAAATATGTAATCGTAAATTTTCATGGCTAGCTTTGTGTTTTAATAAAATGTTTTGAAATTTTAGTTTTTTGCAAGATATTTCGCATAAGAACGCGTACCCCCGCTAAACTGTTTCTGTACCCCTAGGGGTACTTGTACCACACTTTGGGAAACACAACTTTAAATTATTGTATTGGTATTTTGAAGTCTTTTCCATTTCGTCTAGTTTTTAACCAGTCCTGAAAGAAATTCAAACTGTGGTTTAAAAGATTTTCAACAGTAAATAGAAAGCAATATTACAGCTTCTTGGTTATGTAATACAGTTCTCAGCATTTTGATGGGTGTTGAATCCAGGTAATGAAAATCATCATCAAACATGCACTTGTAACCACTCAACTTATATTTAAACAAAGAGCCATTCTGCAACGAGAAGAAAAAATAATGAATAAGTCAGAGCAGTCTTAATTAGCAAACAGGGCCCCCTGGCACAGAAATGTTTTGGGTCCCTATAACATGTCATACAGCTTAAAATCGAACAAAATATCTTCATTTACATAAAATAAAGCATTTTTAAGATATGCGAAAATTTTAACTAACTTAATGGATTTTTATTACCCCCCAAAACTTAATGCACATAAAATAAAGCATTTTTATCCCAAGTAATAAATATTTTGCTTTATCACGCTTTTATTAGGGCAGAAGCAAAACAAAAAATAATAATAATCTATGCTGTGATTGGAAGTTTGCCAATTTTTTTTGGGGAAAAAAATGCAAAAATCAACATATTTTTTTTATTTCATTAATAACTAATTTTCATTAATTAGGAACTAAAACATAAGATAACACACAAGTTCTAAGTTGAAATTGAAATTTTTTTTTTATGTGCAAAAAATATTTAATTTACCATCGGTTTACAATCCCAAATTACCTCGAGCAAATGAAAAAAGTTAAATATTAGTCTTTGTATATGTTCACATCTTCATAATCTGAAAAAATCATCTGCATTACTTTCACTTTCGCTCACGAACGCCATTTTTTTAAAAATGCAACCATCGTACATACAATTATACAAAACACGTCTGCAGTCCCATAAATAGCAAAACTCCCAAACAAAAATCGGCTAACTTCCAATCACAGCAGAGATTATAATTTTTTTTTTTTGCTTCTGCCTCAATAAAAGTGTGAAAAAACAAAATATTTATTACTTGGGATAATAAATCTTTGCAATATATACATACCCGAATTAACTCCGGATAAACAGGCAAGCGGTTAAGTAAATGTTACAAAATTTTAAGCTCATATGATGATTTCAAAAGTATGTAATTATGACTTTAAATTCAAATTTAGGCAATACATGTAACAAAGGAGTGTTTAAAATGAGAACATAGAATCTTTCACATATAATAATCTAATGTTGTGTGTTATCGTATGAAATGAATAGCGAGAGTGTTTTTAGAAACAAACAGGAGTAGGATAGAATTTCTTGCACATAAATTCCATCTTTCTTCAAAAATGAAGAAAATCAAAATTTCAACAAAGGTCAAAAAAGAAAAACAAAAATATGTTAAAAAAATTTGCTACAGTAAGACACTATGCTGTAGAAAGATTGTCTTGTATTAATTAATAATACAATTTCTTTTTACCTGAATCAAATGAGACACAAAAAAATCAGAACAATAGTTCCTAACTAGCCTCCTAATGAGGTGGATCAGGTTCGAATCACGGCAATTTGAAATCAGCACCAGGTTCGCACCGACCACAGTACTGACGTAAAATATCATCAGTGGTAGACGGATCATGGGTTAGCGTCCCTTTGCTGTCAGGCTAATTTTGGGAGGTTTTCCTCTCCATGTAAAGCAAATGAGGGTTAGTTCAATAAAAAAATCCTCCATGAAACCAAATTGTTCCTAATACTCAATCCAGAATTTCCCTTGTCTTCTGGATTGGGTTCTAAGCTATGAGGCTATGTAGTTGAACATTAATAGTCCCAATCTAAAGATTAGGTCGGCTTGTTTAAGGATGGTTATATAACAAAAATAGTTCTGATAATTTTAGGCATTAAAAGTTCGATTTTGTGCTTTTACACATTTAATATTATTACCTAGACAAGTGAGGTATCATATCCCTCCTAAAATACTATTGTTTATTTTTGTCTCAAGCTTAAATGAATAAGACAAAATCAAAGTCAATAAAACTATTATTTCAGAAGTTACATTGATTTTTCTGTATGTAAAAAAGTACTTTTTTTGAACTGCACTTAATATGGACAAAAAACCATAACCTAAAAACTATTCATCTTATTAATTTGAGTCCTATGCGATTCAGCTAAATAAGTTACAAAAGAAAATATACTTTACATCTATTAAAACAGGGTGAGTAGCCACAAAATAAGCACATTTTAAGTACTCAAAAAATACTTTTAATAACTTTCCAAAAAAAAAAATCATAATAATGATCTGTGCAGTAATAATTCCCCCCCCCCTATCGTTTAAAGTTCTTAATTTATGAACATAAAGTCAATAAATTCAAAAACATTTTCACAAAATTTTAATAAAAAATGAGCACTTTCAAGGACTTTTTAAAAATGCCATGCACTCTGTAATAGCAATCTCAACTGTGTAAATAAGTATAATTAAAAAATGGTACTCTTTATTTGTACAAATAAGAACTATTTTGTTTCATTGACTGGCATTTAGTTTCATTCATTTCACCATGAAAAATACTGAAGAAACAATGCCTGCCTATATAGCTATATCGGTTGCATACAGAAAGTACAAAACTGCACAACTATTTCTCTCATCCAACATAACCTCATTTAATTTAAAGTAAAAATTTATGTTTGGAGGAATGCATATATGCCTAAATAGAAATATTTAAGTTTCCACCCAACTTTCCTCTGACCAAAGCCTGTTATGCAAGGTTTCATAACTTTCACTTACCTTTGGTTTTTAACACTAAACATACTCACACTTAACACATTTTTACACATTTAACAACATTAACATATTTCTACCACAGTCAGTCAAATGATTGGACTTTATGTTTATGGTATGGAATATGGATGTTAGGAAGGAAATAAACTAAAAAAACTTTATTGTAATGAAACAAAATTGTATATAGTTAATTTTTATGTATTACAAACACAAAGAATAAGAATTTTTAATTCATGGCTCAACACATTTTTTACATATACAGGGTGTTTAAATTGTACATTTTCCGCAAACATATTTCTTCTAATTATTATTATTTATTATAATTCTCATAATTAATATTATTTCTTCTAAAAACTTGTGCTGTCCTGATTGTTTTGACATTTTTCTGGGTAAAAACCAAAAGTTAGTTAGAAATGAAGTAAAGCTATCCAAATAAAATATAAGCTACTTACCAAAACATTTAGTTTCTGTCACTTTTCCTTACACAAATATGGCAATCTAAAATGTTAGGTACTTTCTTGAAATTTGAATTCACAGTTAGTCTGATTGAACTCACTACGCAACAGTCCTTGCAGAACTGTGCAACTCACCGAATGCAATATGTTGAACACGCATTACATCGTGATTTCTGATCCGATAACCTCATAAAGCAATACATTTTTCTCCCGGTCAAATGACCGGTTGTGGATGAAATAGGTAGGGGAGATGGGGGCACTTGTGAACAGGAGGCACAAGTGAACATGGTATGTTTTACCAATATGATTTGAAATAAAAAATCTTAAAAAATTTTCAATTGATGACAGTACTTGTCCTACCTCTCTGCGAAACTTTCAGAACAATGAGACATTTTGTTGTTCTATTCTGACAATTTCTTTGTATCAGCTGGTGTTGTATATATTATAATCACTAGCTTCTTCAAGTGAAAGCATAGTATAAATCAACTAATGAACTAAAACTAACTATTGCAGACCATTATATGAACATTCAGGTAAGTTTATGACAATTATTATTTTTTTTTTCAATTAAAAATTCTTTATTTTTCAAGTAAGGTTTAAGAAGGATGATGGGGCACTTGTGAACAAATCATCTGGGGCAGATGTGAACAGTTCACATGTGCCCCTACATAGTATTAAGATTATTATCCTCATGATATTATAAGTTTAAAAAATATGTATGCATTTAAAATTATTATTATTTAATTTTCCATAATTAATTTATTAATTTTTTCTTTAAAAAAAATTTTTTTTTTTTAAATGGTTGATCGCGCATCACGCATATTAACTGATACACCTGAGAAAGATAGAATTGCTAAACTACAGATGAAAAGATAGAAAAATGAAAAAAAAGCATGAAAGAGTATCAGAGAGGAAAGAAAAAGGCCCATTACAACTCCTGAGGAACATGAAGTTGCGAAAAACCCAACAGTGAAAAAATTATTGTACAGCTGAAAAATTATTTTCTTATTGACAGTACTGTTGTACAGTTTAAATTCACATAGTAAGCTACAACCCCTTCAGTATAATACGTATCTATATCTGTCATATTAAAGATTTTTTTCCTTGAAATATGATGATTGTTTTGTGTTTTTAATCTTGTTCATATGTGCCCCAGGCATGTTCACATGTGCCCCCAATCGGGGCACATGTGAACAATTGAAGTCATTTTTTTAAAATGTCATAAAGTAAAGAAATATTTTATTGAAAAATCTCAAAAAATTCCATAAGACAAAGAAAAGACTATTTAAACATATGGACTTCTTTACTGTGAGAAATGTATGATATTTTTTGAAAAATGAAGAAATAAAAAAAAATGTTCACATGTGCTCCCCTCTCCCCTATACGAAAAGTATTATTAGAAACAAAAAGAATTTTAAAAATAATAATAATAGAATATTAACTGTATACAATTGTTAGAAAAAGCCATGAAGTCAAATGTGCAAAAACGATGAGCGCATTTTCGATGCAAAAGTTCTTAAATGATCGTTAAACCGGTTATGGTATGTTTAGTGTTAAATACCAGTACATGAGATGAACTTTTACCTCTAAACCAACAAGGAGATACTGTTCATATCCATCATCTGAAGTTTCAATAGACATGATTTCAATGGAAGTAATCTTCTGTTCAAACCGCCTTCCCTCCACCTCATTAAAAGATACCTATTAATATTGCAAAGAAATATTAAAAAATATACTTAATAGGGTTTGAAGAAAGGAGCTAGAAGAAAGAAATTTTTACCCTTTTTTGGGTAGTTCCAGCCTCGAGATCCAATTCGTACTTGAATTCAAAGTAGTAAATTTGCACATAAGTTTTTGAATTTCTAGAATAAACAGCAGCTATGAGGGGAGATTTGTGTTTTTCCCTCACTTTTCCAATGGCAAGAAGAGTAATAGGAAATAAAAAAGAGCCATGCATACAACAAAGAGGTTCCTGGAGAGAGGGGAAGAAAAAATATTACAGGATGCCTAAAAACATTTTGAATACACCTGTGGCAGAATTTTTTCTGGCTTTCTGCGACATACCTCTCTAATACTAATATCTTACTGCAAGATACTTTTAAAAATAACGAATATAAATGTTACTAATTTAAAGTAACAGAAGTGTCAAAGAAAAAAAAAACTTTTTTAATTGAATATGTAATATTTTTTTATTCTAATATTATGTCAATATTCTTGCATTTTGTAGGAGGAAAAGACACCAATCAATTTCTTTCGTTCTTTTGTAAATAAATAAATAAAAAAAAAATCAAGAAATTTTTGTTGCATAAAAAAAAATCTGGAAATCCTTAGCTATAAGTACCGAAAAAAAAGATCGACAGCAAAATTATGCAAATCAGGCTCTTCAAAAAGGGGTTACTGAGTGGGTGTTTTCATTTTGAGATTCAGTTGTTGTAATAAATAATAAAGTATTAAAAATAATTGATTTAAAGCTATGTGAAAATCAATAGTAATAATTGCATTAAAAAGTGGAATAAAAATTTCTGCAGAAAAAGAAAACCAAAGCTTTTTACTTCATTACTCTTTATTTTTCATTATTTTCAAATGAGAATGGAAAAAATCACAAGCATTTTTTTCCCACTCCGATGAGCGAGAAGAAGCATCTTTTGAATATAATTCTGAAGAAAAGAAAAAATCTTTCGAAAATTTCTGCACAAAAGAAGAACCAAACTTTTTTTACTTCCCAAAGGAAAAATCTTTCTGCAAGAACTCAGTAACATTCTGCAGCAATGTCGCCATGATTCTGCCACAAGGTAGAATACAAAATTCCCATAATGAGTCTCATTTAGATGAAATTCTTTTTATTTTTGCAACTGATTGCGCAAATGTTATGATAAGTTTTTAAGTTCTGTCTTATTATTGGCAGTGTGCAATAAATGTTGATCTTGAGATCGCGTACTTGGAGTGAAACTTAATTGTTTGAGAGCCTGACCTCAATTATGCTAATTAATTAGTGCATGCGATATTAAAAGTTACGCATTCAAGACAGAAAAACATACTTTCTATCAAATAACATACCTTTTCTTAATGAATTAAGATTTTTTAAAAAGATAGCTTCAGATTGTGGCTATTCATTAACATAGGAGGGATAGCCGCAATCTGGAAAATAGAGTTTCAATAGTTTAGTTAAAAAATTGTGAAAAAAAAAAAAAATATTGGAATTAATTTTACTTCATTAATTGTGTTTTGTTACATCTTAGATTTCAGTTATGACTACAAATTTTGATAAACACAAATCAAAAAATGACAAAAACAGAAACCTTAGTTTACTTAATATTGCTACTACTTAAGACAGATTAAATGTAACTGTGAAAGTACTTTTCAATGTCATTTGTTGTCCTCAATAAATACTGTGTTCTTAATATCGTAAACAAATATTTTTGATTTTGATTGTGCAATTGATGAATATTAAATAATTTTTTTGCTAAAAAGTGTTTTCAAAGATTGAATATACATATATATTTAAAGTATAAATACATTAGTAACACAAAAAAATAAAACTTTCAGTAAATACCTATTTAATAATATGAAGAATCAGAAATGAACTTATAATTTTCCTTTCTTTTCTCATTTGAAAAAAAAAAAGCATTTTCAGGTACCTGAATTTAAACTTCAATAAATTCATTTTCTGTGATTTCTTAGGGTACTTATCAAATTTCCAGCTTTTTATCAGATTGATAAAATTCTTTGTTCTTTGACATTCAGAATAGTTTTCAAAGGGTTTTTTTTTTAAACAGTCAACTATAATTGAAGATTAATGTACCTTAATTTCCTCGCAGTCGAACAAGATATATTGTAGATAACCATCGTGGGAATAAAGTGCCACATTAAATTTATTGACAGCACATACTTCAATAGATACTGTTAGTTCTTGACTCCAAATTATCTTTTTTCCCCTAACTAATATAACTTTCTTGGGAATAATCTGAAAGAAAATAACAAAAAATCTTTGAAATACAAAATCTATCGGTAAATTCACTAAAGGTATTCAGGTCATATCATACATATTTCTTATTCTATTCAGTAGCAATTAATTCATGAAATTTATCACAATAATTCAAATATGGTTGTTGATTTAAAAAAAAAAATGTGTCCCCATTAGGGATGAAACAAACAGTGATTTAGCCGAATGTTCGGCGACAAAAAGTGACATAATACTGAATATTTAGCCAAAAATATCATTCGAATACGGAATATTAGGTAGCCGAATAGCAACACTTTTTACCTAAAAAAAAAAAAAAATTTATTTAAATTTTTTTTTTCATGTAAATATTTTTAGTCATTATTGAAAAATAATCAAAACTTAGCTGTAGTATTGGTGTGTGGTAAAGATAAAAAAAAAACTATAATAGAAATTTTTAAGATAATAAAGATAATTAGAAATATGTAAGATAAATAAAAAAAACTGACTAACAACTATTAAAAAAACTAAAGTTGTAAAGATGAAAAAGGGAAACAGAAAAAAATATCCTTTTCATCATGCAAAACAAAACTTAAATGCTAAACATAATATTTTCCCGGAAACGGAAGTATTCATAAAACGGATATAGTTTATCAGAAATGCTTTTAAAAATGTTGCACTATCACAAAACGCCCATAAAAAACAGATGATATTCAAAAGCGAAAAAATAAGAATCTATCTTAATTTTTTGAGGAAAACTTTAAACCTAAACATCCCAGTTTTCCAATAACCCTATTTTCAAGAAAAAGTGGAGAAAAAAAAAGTCTGAAAGAAACGCTCTTAAAAGCAGCGTTATAATAAAATTGTGTGTAAAAACAAATGTCTTTTTCCTTTTTAAAAAAGGAGAAGGCTAGATACTAAGCAAAATAAAAATAGTTCTAAATTTTTAAACAAAAATTTAACGCTAAAAGCCGCTATTTAACTTCTTTACATTGCCATATTTTTAGAAAAAGCGGCCATTAAAAAATAACGTTTATTAGAAACGTTCTTCCAAAAATGCTGTTTCATAATAAAAACGCTGCTAAGAAAATTTAATTAAAAAAAAGTCAAAGACAAAGAGAAAAAAGAATTATTCTTAGTTCTGAAATATAATTTTAACATTGAGAGTCACAGTTTTCTATGTCAGCAGTTCCAAACTTTTTTTCTACTACGGAATCCTAATTAATCAAACTTCTTTCAATCGAACCCCTACCTTATAAATAAAGTTTGAGATAATTTTCAACATTATAACCTATCTATAAAAAACTATAATTAAAATATTTAATTAGAGAATTGAATTTTTTTTTACCGTTTTATGATTAATAATCTTAAATTATGTTTTATGTTGGTTGGATAGTTAAATTTGATTTCCTTGTGCAATTTCTAGTCTTGATATGATTTTGTTTCAGCTCTATATACATAAGCTGAAAATGATTAAAATAAGCCAAATTATGGTTTACTTCGAAATAAAAACTTAAAAGAATATACAAGTAGTTATAGACATTGAAAATGGTTATTGGAGATACATATTTCTTTTTAAAGAATTAAGTTATTTTAATTTGAAAGGCGCGAGAGGAAATACTAATAGATTGTTTCATAAATGCTTGTTTTTTTTTATCATTTGTTCAACATATTGTTCTTAGAAATATTATATTTTTCTCTAAAAATGCCATATTTCACTAGCATTTTGCTGGAAGTTATTTCACGAAAGAAACCGTAAGGTTCAATACATTATGAATTATATAGAGGATCTAAATATAATTAGAGATTTCAAAACTCATCACTGATTATTAAAAGTACTAACTTCCGGAACCCAGTTAACTCTTCTGTGGAACCATAGGGTTTCGAACAACGCCACTTAGGAGCCGCCATTACTGTAAAAGACACGTTATCTGTTTTTCCGTGTAGGAAAAAAGCACCAATAAAAAATAAAGTCTATTAGAAATGTTTTGTAAAACTGCTGCTATATAATTAACGTGTTGAAAAACAATTACAGGGTTGCCACTCAAATCTGGAAGAAAAAAATTCCTTGTGTTTTCCCTGTACATATTATACACAATATAATAAGAGGAAACAACAATTACTATGCTCTTGTGTGGGCTATATTGGGCAAACTATATTTATTAGTTTTAATTGCTGAAAAAATAGCTGAACATACTTATATAATACTATAGTAAATGAAAATAGTTTAGTATAGCTGAAATATCATGGTTGAATATCCCATAGATTATGCTTTGAGTGGTCACCATTTTTTAAAAGACAAAAATAAGAAACAAAATTCCCTGTATATTCCCAGTTTGTAAAGAAAAAAACAAAATTTCCTGCATTTTCAAAATACCCTGTATTTTCCAGGTTTTCTCTGTGGAGTGGCAACCCCTAAATTACCCAAGTATCCACATTAAGAGCCTTGATACCTATATTTTAGAATATTTCTTTAACTATTAAAATACCACCAAGTAAAACAATGCTAAAAATGTCACTAAAATTAGTTATTTATCATTGGTGTAGATAATAATCATCAGCAGCATTGGCACGACAGCCCTTTGTGAGCCTGGGTCTTCCTCAGAAGCTTTTCCCATTCTGCCCTTCACCCAGCAATTGCTTTCCAGTTCTTTACTTTTAGGATGGCAAAATCCGCATCCACACAGTCTTTCCATCTCTTTTTGGGTCTTCCTCTTGGTCTTTTATTGGAGGGGGTTGCATTAAAAACTCTTAATGCTGTTCGTTCTGGACTCATTCTCAATACATGCCCGGCCCATCTCATTCTACTTAGCTTAATAGATTTAATGATATCATCATTCAAATTCAATTATTCATCATCAATTAAAATATTCAGTTTATCCATGATTAAAATTATATTGATAAAATATATCACAAATATACAGATAATGTCCTCATAGAAGAGCGCCAATTTTCGACAACACAGGACGAAAATTTCCAAAAATACATTATTACACCAAACAGCTATCTTCTTGAGGTACTAAATGGTTTGCAACACATCTAATGGTTATTTATAACCCGAATGAAAAATTTATGCATGTGGTTTCAGATAACTATAGCAATGCTAATTTGGTGATGTAACTCTTACATGTATGCTCATCATAATTCTTACTTAAGATAACAAATACAAATTTATTAAATATTAAAGAATGTGGAAAAACATGTTTGATTAAATTGAGCTGTAAGAAACGTCACTATTTTTTAAATACAGTAGAGTCCTGATTATCTGAGTTTCCGCTTTAATCGAGCTATCAAATATTTAAAGTATCAGGGGTGATTGTGAGCCCAAGCCAAAATTCCAGAAAATTTCTTGAGTTAAAAAAAAAGTTTAAATTGAAAAAAATTTAAACAAGTTTATTTTTCCTTTTTCTCAATATTTCTTAGTTTACTTAAAATATATTTACAATTTTACGCATACCTATACCATTTATACATACCTATGATGTCCTGGAGAAGTAATTAAAATTTACAAATATGTCTTTTTTTCTTGAGTTTATGATTATAACAACTATTTACTGATAAAAAGTGAATATTAATCATGATTATAAGCTTATAAAGTATCTCTCTGGCTCTCTCTTACAAACAAATAAAATAAACTGTGTTTTTAAGTTCCACGTTTGAAAATTTGAATTCNTATACAGATAATGTCCTCATAGAAGAGCGCCAATTTTCGACAACACAGGACGAAAATTTCCAAAAATACATTATTACACCAAACAGCTATCTTCTTGAGGTACTAAATGGTTTGCAACACATCTAATGGTTATTTATAACCCGAATGAAAAATTTATGCATGTGGTTTCAGATAACTATAGCAATGCTAATTTGGTGATGTAACTCTTACATGTATGCTCATCATAATTCTTACTTAAGATAACAAATACAAATTTATTAAATATTAAAGAATGTGGAAAAACATGTTTGATTAAATTGAGCTGTAAGAAACGTCACTATTTTTTAAATACAGTAGAGTCCCGATTATCTGAGTTTCCGCTTTAATCGAGCTATCAAATATTTAAAGTATTTTTTTCTAGTTTATTTTTTATTTTTAAAACTACCACCGAAAAAATTCTGAATTTTATCTTCCAAACACTCAGAAAAACTAAATCTAACAACTTGATCTGACGAAATGATCGTTAATATTTTCAATTATGAAAAATAATCCAGCGAAGATGAAAATCAACATGTAAAAATCTCTCATACAGATGGAATAAAAGCTATCAAAAGTGCTATTGAAAATTTAGAACAAGAAGAGGCTACACCAGCATTCCTACTATCCATAAAAAAAATGGCAAAACATTGCTGCGGAAAAGTGTCAAAGTAATGTAAAATAAAAACCAATTAAGAACTTTTTTAAGTAAAAACTCTTTCCTTCTCGTAAAGTATGCTCTTTAAGTGTTTTTAAGTAAGCTTTTTAATAAAATATGAATTGTATGTAGTGTACTCGTAAAAGTTTTGTATTTGTTGAATATATTACATTTATACCTACTCTTTTTCTTTCCTTTTTTATATTCTTCGCTTTGACCTAGTTTTTTGACTATCTGAGTAAGTCACATTAACTATGATAATTGGGAGTCTACTGTATTTGAAAAAAAAAAGAAAGAAAGAAATTGTCTTCAGTTTACTTTATAACAATGGCTACTGCTAATAAGAAAGGATGGTAGTACAAACCGTTCTTCACCCCTGTGTGAAGAACCGGTAGTGGTGATACCAAATTAGTAATTTTAATGAGAAAACAATTATTACGCTTTATTATGGAAAATAATTTTATCAAATTGTTTCCAATTACAAATAAAAAAGACATTTTTAAAATTTCTCTTCAATTGAAAAAAAAAAATGAAGATTTTGTACACAATTTAACCGCGCTATAATGAACTCTGGATACAGTGAAATTAGATTATAGGTAACGTTTATGTGTCTCGGTCCAGTTATTTAACTAACGTTATTTCAAATGCTTATAATAAACAGCTAAGAAGTAGCTATTTCGTTTATAGTAAACTCAATGCGATAATTTTAAAAGTACATGAAATGTACTTTTAAAAGTACTTAGAGGAGTAATTTAGCTGGAATGACAAATATTTTTCCAAAAACGGGTATAGGAGAGAGTGATTTGGTAGCACAGAAATTCCTAGTTTATACGAAATGACAAAAATCAGGCATGAAAGTGGACAAAAATAAAAAAAGCGAACTTTTACAATGCAGGCCACTGGGAGGAGAGGGTGGGGGGGGTGTGCTCTATATGATACTGAGATTTATAAAAGCAACTTTTAACTATGTTGGGAGATTTTTATTTAATATTTAAAGTGGCAGAAGCATTTAGACAGTTAACTTTAAATTTTTCTTAAATATAATTTTAAAATTGTGACCACTACTATATTAAAAAAAATTAAGCAATTATAGGAAGGCACGACTATTAAATTACTTACAAATGAAAAATATACCACATCTTTACAGTAACTAATTCAAGAGAAAACTTACTTCTACTTCTTTCAAAAATCGCGATATTGGATTTTAAAATCGCGTGAATATGAATCACGATATTGCATTTTAAAATCACGTGAATATGAATCGTGATTTTAGATTTCAAAATCGCGATATTGAATTTTAAAATCGCGTGAATATGAAGCGCGATTTTGGATTTTAAAAATCGCGTGAATATGAATCGCGATTTTGGATTTTAAAATCGCGTGAATATAAATCACGCGGTTGGATTTTAAAATCACGTGAATATGAATCGTGCGGTTGAACTTTAAGATCGCATGAATATGAATCGTGCGGTTGGATTTTAAAATCGCGTGAACATGACTCGCGATTTTGGATTTTGAAATCGCGTGAATATGAACCGCGATTTTGGATTTTAAAATCTCATGAATGAGAATCGCGATTTTGGATTTTAAAATCAAGTGAATATGAATCGCGATTTTGGATTTTAAAATCGCATGAATATGAACCGTGCGATTGGATTTTAAAATCGCGTGAATATGAATCACGATTTTGGATTTTAAAATCACGAAAATGCAAATTGCGATATTAAATTTTTAAATCGCGTGATTAAGAATCGTGATGCATAATTTTTAGATCACGTGAATACGAATCGCAATGAGTAACTTTTAAATAGCGTACAAATAAGAAAAACGATATCTGATATTACAACTGCGTGATAACGAATCGCAATATAGGATTTAAAAATGCGTGAATACGGATCGCGATGTTGGATCTTAAACTCGCGATATTGGGTTTTAAAAACGCTTAAATACAAATCGCGAATTGCTAGTACGGCTTTTAAATCGTAACACGTAACTTTTAAATCAATTAAATACGAAAATCGATGATTGATATTAAAATCGTCTGATTAAAAATCGCTATTTTGGCAGATTCCGGCGCAGTTCCTAATATTTAAAATTCCGAAAATCAGCCAAACAAAAGAAATCAAATATCGGCGGTCGGAAACGAAACGCTTAGACTCCTTTCCACTCTATAGCGGAAGTCGTGGTAATCCGACTATCGTTCGGAAGGCTTGGGTTCTCTAATTGGACTATACAAAAATTTTAGTTTTTGGAACATGGTCTGAAATTTTAAAAATTGGGAGAAAAAGCAGATTTCCGCTTTTTCGCGGTCTTTCATCCCTGAAATATAAAAAAGATAAAATTTAAAAGATAAATGTCCAAAAACTTAGTATATCATAAGGGGACAAATACTTTGTTATATGTGGAATATTTTGAATGCTGTTTAATGTTCTGTTTAAAAAGGAAAAAATTTGTTGTAAGGAAATTTTGCTGAAGAAAAACAAAGTAAATTACATGCAATTGCTATCACTAATTACAACAATACTACTGCAATATGGTACAAAATATTTTTTTCAAAAATTTTGGACATAGTGAACCACTGTTAATAGGGAACTTATTACTGAGTTCACAGACGATTCTCTATACTGGTGCCCAAAGAGTTTTTTTTTAATCTGGACTATTAGCCTAAAACTACAATGCATATTAAAATATAAAGCATACTTGTATTACCTGCAGAATATCTTTACCAAGTTGAACACAACATAAAGTATTCTCATCAGTAATAAATGGATATTGTGGAATGCGTTGTTCCAGAGAGGAAATTTCAGCAGATGAGTCTTTTTTCAATTCCTTAGAACAATTTAAGATAAAAATACTTGTCATTTTAATTCCAGGTACAAAAAGCAAAACTTCTTCTTCTGCCAACACTAAAATGTTAATTAGTTTAATTAAACAAAGCAATGGAAATAGATAAAATTCATTCGAAATACTGAGTCAAATAATAAAGAGAAGAACAATGTTATTTACATCTTAACAGCAAAAAGAAAAAAAAGGTTTAAAATATTAAGAAAACCTTTGAAGCAGCAAAATAATATAAAAAACAGAAGTAACATTTAAACATTTTTGCTACACAAGAATAATGTTTGCTACATTTCATAAAATAATACACTATTTTAAGCAGTTCAAACATTCGTCCCTCCCTGTTTTAATTTTAGCTTTTTAGCGACTTCCAACCACATTGCAAACAGTAATAGTCCTTAAATTCTTCCCAAAAAATTTTTCAAACTGAAATTTAGATCTAAACATTCTAAAAGCAAATAGTGTTACAGTATCTTTGACTCATCAATCAAAAAACTGATTATTACAATGAAGCAATGTTAATAATTATTTTTTTTCTTTCCTTTGTAATTAATAAAAGCTCATTAAAATGTGAACATCTTTATCTTAAAGTACCATATTAGAGATGCCATTAACGTTTTTTATATGTTTTAGTCATTTAATTATATTCTTTTACTAACCAATTTTTCTGCACTATTGCATTTCATATTGGTCTCTACCACTGGCTACAATAAATTGGACTGCAGTCCTTCTTTCAAGTACACTATACCACAGGAAAAACTTTTCATGGCGAATTCTGTTTGATCTTATTAAAAGAAGTTAAGTTTAGGAAAGAGTAAGTTCAGGTAAACCATGAAGTTTCAAATGCTTAAAAATTTTTTTTTTAAAATATCAAAATGAAAACAATCTAGTGCAATCCCGTCATAATTTGTTTATTATTTATATTAATATTTTTAAATTTTTATTATTTAATATTTTGAAATTTTCTTAAAAAATTTAAATTTTTTTAAAATTTGAGAATATCTTAAAAGAGTTCAGTACTAAATCACAATAAAAAAAGGCCAAATTATAACAAAGAGCCAAAAAAAAAGTTTAAATAATTATTTAAAGTAGCCACTCGGTAAGAAAAAAAAAATTGTCTGAGATTGCTAACACAGATTTTCATATTTTTAACTTTAATCACAATTAAAAAAAAATATATATAGTTAGAATTTCATACATTGTATTTATCAAATCAATAAATTTATTAAATTTTACTAAGCAAATTTATTCTTAATCCTTTTATAAGCTCAAGATAAACTATAAACTAATCTTCAAAAAAATAACATGTCTAATGTTAAGTTGAAACAAAATAAATGTTTCTTTATTTGAGAGTGAAAATAACAAAATTATTAATAATTTGAGCAATTTAATAGGAATACAATTATTTAAAGACTAATGGCAAGAAAAAAAAAGAATAGTACCACAAGATAAGTTTTTAAAATGTGTAATGTAGATTGAGAAATATTTATGGTGAAATGTCTAAGTGATAAAAATACAGTCACTTGCTAATACTCATGAGAATTTTCAAAGCTGAGTGGGAATTCCAGTTTGCCAGAGTTATTTTCAATTTCTCTGAAAAATAGAGTTTTCCCCGATTCTTACTGTTGTTAGGTTGAATAACACAGAGGCCAATGCCGGCAAATAAAGTATTTAGTAAAACATGCGGAAATAATATGTTGCACACACAGTGCTATGCCAAAGAATACATACGAATCAACCGAAATACAGTCAGCTTCTTCAACAAATATATATTGCTTTCCCTTATCGGGAAGTTGTTGTATTACATTACGCAACTCACCTGAGAAGAAAAATGAGATTTTATTTGCATATCAACAACACTTACTACCTATTACTTCATCTCACAGGACACTCAATTTAAAACAGAAGCGTCCCTAAAAGTTTCTTTTTTTTAATGCTTACTTACAATTTTCACCTGTTTCCCATTTACATATCCAAGCAGTCCTGTTATTTAACTCTTCATCATCAGACATCAAAACAATTCTCCAATGCAACTCTTCATTTCTTGTAATCTAAAAATACAGCGAATCTGTTATAATAGCAATTTATATTAGCAGATTTCATTTCAGTCAGTCTTTCGGCATAAGCAATTGTATGAATTTGTTGTTAAAATAGGAATAAAAAAATGAAACAGACTTCTTATCTTATTTTGAACAACTTTTTTGATTCAAAATACGTACCCAGATTAGACTGCCGTAGCCTACAAATTGTAGAATGAATTCATACATAGCTCCGTAAAAAAACAAATTTCCTTAAATTTTTTTTTTTTTGCAGCAGTGAAAGGTAAGTAATTTTTAACTTGTTATAATTGTTGTACCTATAAATTAGGATTTTGGTGGGGACTTGGAAACTTGTCGAAATAGCAAACTTCTTATAATATACCATACTTGTTATATCAACATTTTACCATAATAAGTAACTTGACTCTCTATTATATACAGTGCACAAAATTAAAACTTATTACAATAAGACCTGTTCAGCAAGAAGATTGTTTGAAGAGCCTTCTGTTTGTTTAATGTATATTAGATATACTCTTAAAAAACCTATTTAACCCATGTATGATTAATGCAATGACTTCATAGAATATATGTCATTTTTAAGCAGTATCTGAAGCAAAAGAGTTGAGTCATTTTTATGTTCATAATAAGTGATATATCAAAAATAAATAACAAAATTTTGAAATTTCTTTGAGAAATGGGAAAATATTAATTAGCTATTTTAAGAAAGAAAAAGTCAGCAGCATAAAATAAGTACTATTTTTCACAATGCAAAACATATCAAATGTAAACTATTTGCATAATAAACAGGCAGGTTGGCCACCCTGGTAATTTTTTAATTGAGGAATCAATGCCAAATAAATAGAAAAAGGCAACTATTTGCCTTATGCATAAAAAAGAGACATCCCGATTTGAGAAAACTATTGTGGATTATCAGATTTGGGCACTTCTTATAAAGTACTCTTAAGAATTATTGCAAATAGATTGGAAGAACCCTATATAGAAAAGTTTTTTTAAACAAAACATTAAAATATACTTAGAATTCAAGCAAGCATATGATTGAATAAATAGAGAAAAACTGCACCGCATCTTCAGGAAACATGATAAGAATAGTTCAAATGATTTTGTTAACTACAAGCATCGTTGCTAACAAGGATAGGAAAAAATACAATAGATTTTACGAAACATAAAGTTCATCATAATTGCTGCATTATGTTTTAAATATTCAACACATAGTGAATTTTATAGTTATCGTGATAGAAAAAATGCAATTTTTTCTCCCAGTTATGATTGACATTAAATAAACTTGAAATGTTATGTATTATGTTTACTCATAATTTTGAATAGTAATAGGGATTTTATTCATCAAAGATAGTTAAAAGATTTTTTAATTAATATAACAAGGGAGTTCTGAATAAAAACAAACTGAACATTTTGGAAAAAAAAAAAGTTTTAAACTGACTTCTGTAAATGAAACTAGATTATGTATATTAGTAATATGCATTTATATATTTAAGCAAGCAATAATCTGTTTTAAAAAAATGCTATTTCAATAGGGATTTTTTAGGAAACTTATTCAATTTTAGGAAATTTTCTAAAATGTACAAAAATTAGGAGAATTTTTATTAAACCAGTAGACTAGCAGAAACAGGCAAAATCCAGTAGATTTGGCAGCTATGTGTAGGGAAAGCTCTCAAGAAACTTTGGAATAATTACAGGAAGATGTACAACACTTTTTAGCTTTTGCCTCGAAAACATGAGAAAACTTATTCTAGTCAAGGAGGCATAACAATAAACCAAAAGTAACTAAAAGCTATAATGATTTAGAAAAGGCAAAGACTGTGGGACTTTTAGTTAAGAGTGAAAAACCAAGTATGTTATTATGATCAGAGGAAATGGATCAATCACGAATTCAGTAAACCTAGGTTTTGAAAGGATGACAGAATTTAAATATTGGTTTTTATATCTTGTTTCAAAAACCACAGTAAAAAAATTGAAGCTGAAATGCTTAAGTTGTTTAAACCTTCTCACGAAAGTTAAAACTAAAATTATATATAATAATTAGTCCTATTACCACACATGCAGCAGAAACTTAGACTACTACTCAGAATGAAGAAAAAATACTTTTGACAGAAAGATTTTAAGGAAAATACATTGACAAATCAAAGATGGCGATGTGTGAGGAATTAGGAATAATTTCAAGTTAAGGAAGCTCCATAAAGAAAAGATATAATAGAAGCAACAACAAAATACAATGGCTTGAACATCCGGAGTGAAAGAGCAACAAAGAAAATCTATACTAGAAACTAGAAAACTAGACGGAAAAGTTGGGCGTGCAAGAAAAAGATGACTAAATTAGGCAGATTAAAAATAAATAAAAAAGCGAAAATCAAAAATCGGAGTTTAAAAAATGTAATAGAAAATGAGAATCCTAAAATAAACAGAGCATTTGTATTTATCACTTAAATTGGGATTTACCTTGCAGCCAAGTTCGAGCACTCTCAATTGAGAATGAAGACTTCTACCTCCAACAATGTACATTTGGGAGAAACCCTTGTCTACTAGGTCACCAACTTGGAAGTCAAATAAAGGCGAAAAGTTCGGTAACATTAGGACGAGTTCAAATATTTGTTTTTCTTTAGGTTTATTTTCTTCAGGATTATCTTCTTCAGGTTTGTTTTCCTCAGGTTTATCTTCTTCAGATTGATCTTCTTCAGATTGATCTTCTTCAGATTGATCTTTTTCAGATTGATCTTTTTCAGATTGATCTTTTTCAGATTGATCTTTTTCAGATTGATCTTCTTCAGATTGATCTTCTTCAGATTGATCTTCTTCAGATTGATCTTCTTCAGATTTACCTGCTTCAGATTTACCTGCTTCAGATTCATCTTCTTTAGATTTACCTTTTTCAGATTCATCTTCTTCAGGTTTACTTTCTTTAGATTCATCTTCTTCAGATTCATCTCCTTCAGGTTTATCTCCTTCAGTTTCATCTACTTTAGGTTCATCTACTTTAGGTTCATCTTCTTCAGGTTTATCTTCTTCGTGTTCATTTTCTTCATGTTTATTTTCTTCGTGTTCATTTTCTTCATGTTTATTTTCTTCAGGTTCATTTTCTTCAGGTTCATTTTCTTCAGGTTTATCTTCAGTTTCATTTTCTTCAGGTTTATCTTCAGTTTCATTTTCTTCAGGTTCATTTTCTTCAGGTTCATCTACTTTAGGTTCATCTCCAGTTTCATCTTCTTCAGGTTTGTCTACTTTAGATTTATCTTCTTCAGATTTATCTACTTTAGATTTATCTTCTTCAGATTTATCTGCTTCAGATTCATCGTCTTCAGTTTCATCTTCGTCAGCTTCATCTTCTTCTTCTGGTTTGTCTTCTTCAGATTCCTCTTCTTCAGATTCCTCTTCTTTAGATTCATCTTCTTCAGATTTATCTTCTCCAGATTTATCTTCTCCAGATTTATCTTCTTTAGGTTCATTTTCTACATGTTTATCTACTCCAGAATCATCTTCGGTTTCATTTACAGTTTCATCTTCTTCAGTTTCATTTATTGTTTCATCTTCCTTATCAGGTTCATCTTCCTTTTCTCTAGGTTTATTTTCTCCTTCCACCTCAGATAGGGAACCATAGTTTACACAGTACAATAAGCTAAAATATAAACATAGGACACAGTTTTAATTATAGTTCTTTATGTTAAAGCAAAAATTCATTTTTATCATGCAACTCAAGAGTAAAATATTAATTGTCAAGATTCTAATGTTGAGGGAAAAAAAGAAACACTTTTCAAAAAATAATTGAAATAGTAGGTTAAATAAATAAGGAGTTATGATTTTAAGAACATAACGATAAACCATTTTGACAACATTGACTTTAAAAAATCTGATAGAAAACAGCCGCTCAAAATTGGTTCCTTTGCGCTTGGTATAACAGTTCTTTCACCTGTTAATCACATTCCACTTGTTTCACAATAAAGACTTTCATCTTCATAGTAATATCATCACACCTTAAATAATTTTAATGATGCACTTCATGAATGATGAAATATTTCATCAGATATAGTCACAGATTGAACATAATGTCACCAATTCAATGTATTATTCACATTTAAGGCACTATCACTTTTATCAGCATTTAAATAACTGTTCAACAGTTTTTTTCTTAGTAGTTTATAATATTTAATAAGTTTTTTTTCTGAAAAACTCCCTTTTTTGGAAAAGAGAAAATGCGTTTAAGTTTCAACAGATATGTTACATGGATTCCATTAAAAGTTGGTTTTTATTAAGGTGCAGCACTCTTTCCAGGAAACAAGATAATTGAATTGAATTTTTGCCGCTCGTGTAAAATGAGCACAAAATGACGTCACTGAATTAAGAGCTCAAAAATTCTTTTATATTTGGCGTTTTTGAAATGCATATAATAATTGGAAATAAAAATTAACAAGTTATGCACTAAAAAGCAAATTCATCAGGAAAATTGTTTGATTGTTTGTAGATATCAATAATCAATGGCATAATTTTGGTGTCAAATAATGCTGAGAAAACCTACATATTCTTTACTTTGATTAGTTTAACTTCTAAAGATGTGTTTTACTTAATCTAATAAGGTAAAGCCACCAGGCTTTATCTTAGCAAATAATGCTGAGTGGTAAAAGGTAATGATAAAAGGTACCTTATCAAATAATGCTGAGAAAACCTACATGTACTACCTCTAAAGATGTGTTTTACTTAATCTAATAAGGTGAAGCCACCAGGCTTTATCTTAGCTTTGCAAGCTTTTTTTACTAAGACCAATCAAAGTTCGAATCAATAATGTTTAATACTATATAAAAATAGCATTATAACTAAAGTTCTTGATTGTAGTAATGCTGATATTGAATGCACATGTTAAGGTTTTTAAAACAACTATTTTGATAAAACACATTCACAACGGTTACAAAACTTCAGAAACATAAAAAGTAATAAAACAATGTTACAGTCAGAGTAGCAAGCACTCAGAGTAATGGTTCCTTTCTACTGCCCAGATCCAACCGAGAGCGGCGACTGTTAACACTCCTATCTAGCACATTCAGTATCCTTCCACACACCCATGAATCACTTCACGCTTCTCGTATTTCTCCATCCACGCCTGTAATTTCCCACTTTGTTTACCTTTTAAAACTACAGTAGCCCTCCGCAGTAGTAGATCCAATTGCACAATAAAGTCCAATCGCAGAATCACCTTATGAGAAAGGCTGAATCACTAGAGATGATTTATCTAATTGTGATAAAATTTCTGCAAGTCACTTTTCTGGTTGTTGACTACTTCCTACGGTGTTTTCACGGTCGTGATGTTTACTCTGGTGACTTTGGAGGCGGGTGATCGCCAATTAGTGGTTGTTGAAATAATTTGCCTCCAGGAAAATGAATACAATTGTTTACGTGAGAAATTGATTTATCAAAGTAAAAATCAGCAAATTTAAAATGCACAAATCATACAGAAACAGGGGTAATTGTGAGCCCAAGTCAAAATTCCAGGAAAATTTCTTGAGTTAAAAAAAAAAGAAGTTTAANGAAAAAAATTTAAACAAGGTTTTGTTCCTTTTTCTCAATATTTCTTAGTTTACTAAAAATATATTTAAAATTTTACACATACCTATACCATTTACACATACCTATGATGACCTGGAGAAGTAATTAAAATTTACAAATATGTCTTTCTTTCTTGAGTTTATGATTATAATAACTATTTACTGATAAAAAATGATCTAATAAATAATCATGAATATAAGCTTATAAAGTATCTCTCTGACTTCCCCTTACAAACAAATAGAATAAACTGTGTTTTTAAGTTCCACGGCTGAAAATTAGATTTCCTGAAACTTTTGTGATCAATGATTTTTTTAAACATCTGGACCTTCGATCTCCGGAAACTTCCGGATCACTGTTAGCGAAAAATCCGGATATCCGGATTTTTTCCAGAGAACAGTCAGCCCTGCTGAACAGAAAATCCACAAAGGGATCAATGCTCAACACTTTCCCACATCAAGAGGTTTTTGTTTTCGAACAGGTGCGGCAATTAATTAATGAGTCTACATTATTGAAATAAAAAGTTAGCCATTACACTGATTGATAAGAAAAGAATAAAATATTTTATGAAGATTAACTTAGTAATTTAATTTAAATATAATTCGATTAATATGATTAGAAAAATAAGTTTAAATATTTTAAAAGGTAGGAAATATGTAATGTGAATTGTAGCACAGAGACAATGTTGTTTGTTTCCTTCACATCAGTTGCAAATTTGGTTATGTAATCCAAGTGAATCAACTGCCTTGGGGAGAATTTATTCTTTTTCTGTCTTAAAGCGAATGGCTTATGGTTTGCATAAATGATAAGCTTTCTACCATATGTCTGAAATGCTTAACAGCAGTTCTCTGTCATAGGCGCCTAAAACTTATATTTTAAAAATAAAATCGGACATAAAAAAACAACCTTGAGAATATATTTATAAATTAGCCTAAATAAAAATGAAAATTACATAAATCATTTATTTTTGAAAAAAATTAGATGATTTACATGAATGATTTTTTTTTAAAAAAAGGGATTGAAATCATGCAAGTTTTTCAACTGAAATATCACTTAGTAGTAGTCATTGTAGAAGAAGTCTAGTGCATACTGTGGAAAGCAAAAAATAGTGAACTTACTGGTCAGAAATTTCTGAAGAAAGGAACAAATAAGTTTCATCTAAGGTCAACATACACCAGGATCTTGCTACAGGAAGAACATCGACGCACAAAACTGAGATTTCTTTTTTCTGTGTGGACATAAAACATCTAAATAAGACATTATCTTTAAATCAATGATAGTCAAAATAATTTTTAAAGTGCGATTTCACTCCTTTTATTAGTTTTTAAGGAGAAAAATTTAAAATGGAGGAGCAAGTTCAAAAACGCATGTTAATTTTGTAAATTATTGACATTTTATAACACAGTTTCTATTATAACAGACAGATAAATCACATTAATAAACTATATACATCAGGCATGGTGTTTACCTTTTCTAATTAAGTATATAATTCTGATTTCAAATCTGAGAATTTTTTTTGTTAAATTTTATTAATTTTAAGAAAATACTGTTTAAGTGTTATTAATTTTAATGGAATTTGCTTTCATCAGGTACAAGAACTACAAATTTTCGACAGACACTAAGAATTTGAATTTCTTTGCAGTGTGACACTTTACTAGAACCACAGAGAAAGCTTTTGTAAAAAAAAGCCCTGGAAGAAAAAGCAAGGAAAACGAGCATTGGGAAAGAAGTACTACTTTAACAATTTTAAATGAATTCAATAAATTAAATATTAATTCAAATGTAGATATACTTTTTTAAAAAACTGATTAATAAGCAAAGTTTAATTTAAAGCTTGTGGAAACAAACTTTTAAAGCATATTCTTTTTTGTTTAAATTGTACTCAATACAATTATATAACTTACTTAGTTTTATTATAATATATAATGTAGCAATTAACAATAGTAACTCACAGGAGGTTAATTTTGCAATAAGTTAAAAATATTTTAAAAAAAAACTATGAAAAGTTTCATTTTAATGCAAATATTATCCTGCAGATAAAGATTATCACAATCAAATTAGTGTAGTTATTGGAATTCAGAAAAAATATGGATCTGCTTAATATTCCTAAACGTTTTGTTAAATAATATGTAGTGCAGAAAGTTCCTTCCATGAACTTATATCCTTGTACTTTAGTTAAGCTTTTTTAAAAAGAAATTCAAATTTCACTAGAATAAATATTTAATAATTTTAAATTGAGGCTTAATCCACTCAATGCAATAAAATTGCAAAACATGCAATAAAATTGCAAAACATGCAATAAAATTGCAATGGTGCAAATAAAATTGCACATAAAGTCATATAGATTTTAAAGAGATGTTTTTCAAAAGTTTCTTTGGGTTCTTATCTGTACTTTTTTTCCCTTCTAAATACTCTTTTTTTCATTTACGATTTGCTACTGTGTTTAAGAAGTATATCTAAAAAATGATGGGCGATAAAGAAAAATGGTTTGCATATTTTAAATCAGCACACTTTTAATTGTCTTAGAAAATGCATTGCATATGTAGATAACCGCAACTTTTGAAAATTTGGTTATAAGTGTCATGCAGAGTAAACAGACTGTTAGAGTGCCAAAACAAATTAAAAAAGAAAATATTTGTAAAATTGAAAAAGTTGAAATAACAACCAAATTAATATTTTGTAATTAAAACGAGGATATTTTAAGTTGCCGTGATAGTTAAATTATACTTAAAATAACTAAGATATCATTTTCATAATAAAGCAATAATTACTTTGATGAATACTCGAATGAAACAAACTTTTCCTTTTAAAGACTGCGCAAGATGACTCTCCTGAAAAAAAAAAGAGTATTTAATACAATTATTGAATTATTTAGTTTAATTGATGTCACACTATGTATAATACATTAAGTGAAGACATAATTTAAACAATTCCACTTTTGTTTAATTTGAGGCGCAAAGCCTTAATATTTAATATCTTGTCTGATTTTGGGGCTCTACTCAAGAGTATTTTAGAATTTTTTTTATTTAGCTATTCCACAATAATTATACAAAAAAAAAGCTTAAACTTTCTATTTTACTTCCGAGTCAAGTAAAAGAGAGGGAGAGAGGGAGGAAAAAAAAAGACTACCAGGGAAGGCAAACCTATTGAATGCAGGGCAAAAATAGAATGAATTATCTTCTATTTTTATAACATTTAAATAAATAAACTGATAGCAATACTTTCTAATATTTGTTCAACTTTTGAAAGATAAAGAGACAAAAAAATTCCATTTTAGGATTTAAATTCTTTAGACAGAAATTCCTTTCTTCTTTAATTTTAACTAAAATAAAACCAACTATTTAATTAGTTACCATCTTTTTAGATGCTTAAGTTTGTTTTTTCATTATAAAAACAATATATAATCGTCCAAAACTCTGATCCCCTTTTTTTAATAGAAATCCCTTAGAAAGAATGTTTTATCTTGATCACTACAAGACATCAATTAATAACTGATTAGCTTAGTCTGCCTCATGGAGTAACTTTTTTCTGGATAAAATACAGTTTTGTTTGCCACATTGCTTTGAATTAATGGCTGGTGATTTCAATGAAGAGGTAAGGAGCTGCTGCGGTGGGCTTCCAAAGAGCTAACCCCAGAGTTTTTAGAATAGTTTCATTGAAAAGTCCTACAAGAAGGCTACTTTGCCCCAATGATTGATCCAGGAGTTCCTCTGGATTGAATTCAAAATTACAATGCTACGAGGTAAACATTGACATCAACTTAAGTCAAAACAGCTGTTCAACGTCTCTGTTATAAAATTAAAGAGGTAAGCATAAATAAACACTCAAATCCTTCTAGAAAGGTTACTGCTAGCTTATTGTTACTTATCATACAAGTTGCCTTGTTGAATAATAACTGCATTTTTTGGATACTTAATTTTGTTTTTATTGAAATATAAAAGTAAATATGAATACAAGCTCAATTTTTTATGATTTATATGACATCCGTTCTATTATTTAATCTTTGCAAATATTAAGGCAATATTGTTAGAATAATTTAGATTCTAATTTTAAAAGAAGATATCTGTTTGCCTCATTTTTGAAGAAATTGCTAATATAGCAATAAATCTTTGGCTAAATTTTTATTTCTAATTTGTTGCATTACAGCGTACATAGCATAACTAAATACTTTTGTCTCACGCTTGTTTTTTGTTGGGGAGGGAGAGTTAGCGAATGCTAGTTCTTTTGAGTGAAACCTTTGCTAGCTGAAACAATAAACAAACTGACTACAGTCAACAGAAAAATACGGCATCACCAAATGGTGAGAGAGTAGACCAGATGCAGTACCCCGAAGATTTGGAGAAGGAACGAGTACAGCGTCCTTTGCTGTAGATATCATCCATTAAACGTCGATCAACTTAAGTTCATTTTCTTATACCTCATGAAGAGGCGATTCATGTCTAATCAATTATTTCAAAGCATCAAAAAAAAAAATATTAAAAAACCTACATAGAAAATTATTATACATAGGAAACATGAAAATGATTCCTATGTATTAGGTCTCAATGATAAGAAATCAACTATACTTTAAAAGATTACCCCAAAACAATTTGGCAATGAACATAAGTAGGTATTGTGCTTTGAACATTATTGATAAAATATTATAGCTCTTACGTGCAATAACAAAGGTTGTATATTCAATCTTACATTTAAATAGAAATTATTTGGTAATTAAAGGGAATAACATTTTTTTCATCAAACATAGTATTATGTAATGTGTCTTACTGTGTAGCAATAATATATAGGCAAGAAATGTTTTAAAATGTTTAAACTACCCTTTACAAATTTTTAAACTATACAGATTTGGAAAAGGAATTGATAAGAGTCACGAGCCAGCAGGCATCTGTATTAAATAGTATGTTGCAAATAAATTCCATAGTTTTTACAAACCATGAAATATACATTGACAAGTATAAGTTACATTCATTGAAGAAAAATTAATTCTTAAAATGGGGACATAATTTCTAAAATAATAATAATAAATATGTCTCACCTTATTAAATGGTGTCACCAACAAAAAATAATCTTTATTGTCAAGCACCTGATGAAAAAAACACTTATTTAAGATAGATACATACAGGATTTAACAAGAAAGTTAAAATTGGACAGCAATTCAAAATTAAGAGGCAGTTATATTTGATTAAAACAAAACTTAAAAAAAAATAATAGAAAAAAAAACAATTATTGCAGTTGCAAAATAAATGTTGACACTTTAATTCCTTGTGTTGTACAGTGCGCAAACTAAAAAATATGTCACGCTAAATATTTTTCATTCCGACGACTGAATTTTCAGGCACTAAGTGTCAATCTTAATGGCTCCTTCGTGTGACATTGAATAAGTTAATTAATTAGAACTAACTATTAATTAAGTAACGAAATCAGACACAAAAAAGCACTTTCTCTGAATGAACATACATTTATTATTTTACATACTTGGATTCCAGACCCTAAAAATATGGGAGGTATGGTTAGCAGGTATCTGGTAATTGTAGTCCGAATAGTTCAGTTATGAGAGCGGATGAAAGTTTGGTCTTCTTTTTTGTTAATTTCACTTCTTGAGTTCTTGGACATTTATTTTAAACTAATTGCGCAATTTAAAAGAAAAATTGTAATCACTAATGAAACTCGTTGACCCAAAAATATTTTTTGATAATTAATAAAAGGTTTTAACAATTTATTGCTTTTAATTATTTAATACTGGATGAGAAAATTATTAATTATGAGACGTAAAATTTCTTATACCATATTATGTTTCAATAGTGAAATCTAAAGTTTAAATTGCTCTTATTAGGTAGAAGCTGAGAAAAATTAAAATTAATTATTTTTAAAAAATAAGTTGGCAACAATGAAATAGTTTATTTATTTTTTTTAAATTTTTTTTTTAAATGGAGCGATTAATACCTAAATTTGATAAACTTACAAATGCTCATTTGAAACCTTTAAGCATTGGAACATAAGTTAATCACGGTTTTCTTCAATTCAGCCTATTATAGATAAAGTGCATATTTCATGTGTGGTCAGCAAGAATCACAGGAATCTTCGTCTTCTAAAATACACAATAAGTAGTGTGTATTTTAAAATGTGTCCTGGATCAGCTTTAAATTTAGACAGTTTGTACAAATTGCTAGTACACTTGATAAAGAAATGTGTACATGTACCTGACCAGTATTGCTTTTCTTCTTCATGTTATAGACACTAGACCAATGGATGTCTAAATACAAACTTTAGTTAATGAATAATCAAAACATGACTGATAATTGCTAGTAGGAAATTCTTACATTAAAGGACAAAATAAAAGCTATTAAAAATAGTGAAATAGGAATAAGCACATGAAAATTTTTCATTATATGGCTGTTGAAAAATACAAATCAATAATATCTTAAAAAATGTGATTATAATAAGCCATCACCATCATCATAGTTGGACAGCCAGCCCAATGTGGGCCGATGCCTTCCTCTGAAAATTTCTCCATAAAGACTTCCGATTTATCTTTGATCAATAATTCTTTTCATTAATTTTAAAAGAGCCACGATGGCTCAGGGGACAGAGCATTTACATTCCAATGACGTGAACTGGGTTCGAACCTCAGCGATGGCTGCTCGATACCAATTCCTCACCTGGCTTGCACCAACCACAGTGTTGACGTGAATATCCTCACTGGTAGACAGATTATAGGTTAGAGTCTCCTTGCTGTTAGGCTAACCATGGGAAGTTCTTGTGGTCTTCCTCTCCATGTAACGCAAATGCGGGTTAGTTCCAGCAAAAAGTCCTCAACGAAGGCAAATTTCTCCCAATACTTGATCCACGAGTTCCCTTGTTGTCTGGATTAAGTTCAAAATTACAAGGATACATTGTTGAACATTTGTAGTCGTAAACTCAAATATAGGGTCGGCTCTTCAACGATTATTATAAAATGAAATTAATTGCAAAAAAGTTCGACTCCACTAAATCAGCCCATCTCAACTGCGGCCTTCCCTGGTTTCTTGTTCCAGTAGATTTAAAAAGCAATAATATCTTTTTTATTGTATTGTCATCACTCATTGGAATCACATGGGCCATTATTTTTATGTATTTAATAATATCAGTTTGTTTATAAATTTTATACAGCTCTAAGTTAAATCTCCTTCTCCAATTATTGTTTTCATTTACACCATCAAGTATACCCCACAAAATCTTTCTCTCAACTATTGATAATTATATTGAGATATTCAAATATTTCTCTCAATAATAAACTATAAATGAAAGTAAATAGCAGGTAAGTTATTCATTTAAGTCAACTTTTTATAATTATGTATTTTTTTATAATTTTTTTGTTTGATGCTGCTAGACAATTTTCTTCAACAATCTCTAATAACTCTGAATGGCGATTACCTCTTTATATCGGTCATATAAGCACAGTTCCACAGGGTATTGTAATTCGGAAGAATTACTATAAGTTCTAATTCTAAATCCTCACATAAAAAGACACTCTCTGACACAGCAACTGATGACCCAGCCCCCTGATGGCAGACTGCACATTCAACCAAATTGTTTTAAACAAAACACGGGAATTTAGTTTACTCAACATTTCTTATGAAATAAAATTAAATTGTTTTATTTAATAATAATTGATTTTTCATTATTAGATAAGATACAGAAATTTGTTATTTAAGATAATTATGTGATGTAAATTTAAATATAAACAGATTGATTTATCTTACTTACTCAAATTTTAAAATAAAATGACTTAATACTCGTTGGAAAAAGCAAATGAGTATCTAATTAATTAAGTTGCTTTTTTTATTTTAAAAAAATTGTCATTAAAAATTATTATTGTATTTATCTAAGAGAGTGTATTTATCTTTAAGAGAAAAATAATTTTAAATTAATGAGAAATTGTTTTAAAAAAAAGTGTGAATTCAAAGACTAAATTTATAAACTTAAACACTGAATGCACAAAAATGCCACCTTTTTGAATTAATAAAAAAGAGGAAATATGATGAATAAACAAGAGTTACTAAGAAGCTTTTACCACAGTGGAAAATATTCACAATTTTATGTATAGTATTATTAACATCTAAAAGAAAAAAACTTACTTTTATTTCTTTCCTAAGATGCAAATTTCTTGAATCAAGGCTTTTATAAACAATACTGTGTCTTGATACAGCTAAAATGCCAATTGGCTCCACTAGAATAGAAAATAATACTTTTATAAGTATTTAAAAACCTATGCAATATGTTTTTAAATTAATGATAACTGATAAAACTTCTACAAAATTACTAAAAATATATGAAATTCACTTAATGGAAGTTTCATATTAAAAGATTTCACTACATTTAAATCAGAGGTGCTTGTGACACAAAGTGAATTACCCTGAAAATTTTATGTGCAAATACTTGATAACAAGATATTAATTTATATACTTAATTTATATACTTAATTACTTTAATTATATATTTAAAATAATTTTTTGAACCAAAATTTATAATTAAATTACCAACCAATAAAGAATACCACACAAGAATAGTGATATTGGATTTTAAAATCACATCAATACGAATCACGATGCATGATTTTTAGATCTTTTGAATACCAATAGAGACAATGGACTTGAAATTCACGTGAATATGAATCGCGATATTGGATTTTTAAATCACGTGAATAAGAATCGCGATATTGGATTTTTAAATCACATGAATACGATTCACAGTGAGTATCTTTTAAAACAGAAAAATATTAAAATCTATTTTTGATAGTATTAAAATTGTGTGTCTATGAATCACGATCTTCGTTGATTCCGGTATAGTTTCAAATATTAAGAACAATAAAAATCTAACTAACCAAAAAACCAGTATTCTAACTAACCAGTTTTCACACGATTTGGAGGTGTGAGAAATTTCATAGATTTACTAACTTACTTCACACAGTTTGGCACATAAAACATTCAGCCTGCTTCCACATACTCTCAGTTTTTGGATCTGGCTTATTCTAACCTTGCTTGATTGAAATCCATGTGTTTTTGTTTGAGCCAAGTTATTCTTGGTCTTCCCCTTTTCCTCCTGCCATCAGGAGCCCAGGAGAGAGAAACACATCAATTTTTGCTAGAATTCTAAGTAAATGTTCTGTACACCTTCTCTTGTTGATTATTTATTCTGTTGCAATGAGAATCGCTTTTTCCAATATTGTTTCATTTCTTATTTTAGCAAGCAAAATTATTTTGAAGATTTTTCTTAGACAGTAAAAGGCTTTTAGATGCCTGACTTTCTAAGGCACCATGCTCCAGAACAATGTAATAAAATTGCTCTGACTATTGTTTTATAGATATTTATTTTTGTATGGTATTGAATGAATGTTGATTTCCAGAATTTTTCAGCGTTTCAAAAAGATGCACTTCAGAGTAGTCGCAAACAATTAGAAAAAAAATTATATGATTTTTCCAGAATGATTTTAAGAAATCTCTCAGTTTTTTTTTATAATACCATCATTGAACAGTCAACCCAGTTTTGGGTTTATGACTACTAATGTTCAACTCTGTAGTCTTCTGATTTTAAACCCAATCCAGAAGACAAGGGAACTCCTGGATCAAGTATAAGAACAAAAGTGGAGGACTTTTTGATGGAACTAGCTTGCATTTGCATTAAATGGAGAGGAAAAGCGCAAAAACTTCCCACAGTTAGCCTGACGGCAAGGGGACTCTAACCCAGGATTCTACCACTGAGGATATTTTACGTCAGCACGGTGGTTGGTGTGAGTCAGGTGTTGAATGGACCAGCAATGGCTTAAATTTGAACCCAGTTAACCTCATAGGAAAGCGAACGTTCTATCTCCTCAAATTTCACAAGTTTACATAACCAGGATGTGGAGCCGGCTTTTTCAACAAAAAAATAAGGACCTTTTATGCACTCAAAAATATTTTTAAGCACATTTCCAAAAAATATAATCATAATTAGGATATGCACACTAATATGAATTTTTTCTTCCTATTACAGAAAGTTTTTGAAAATTATTGAAAATATCATCAAAAAATACATCAACAAAATGCAAAATAGTTACCAAAGACTTACATTATCATGATAAAACAACTAGTTTCTAATTAAAAAAATTATTTTCTTACTATCACTATTCAGTAATGCTATCAGATACTATTCAGTAATAAGACATCATGAAAAATAATAATTAAATGTCACTTAAATGCAAGCAAGCTTACTAACCTGGTGCTAAAACATTTGCTTTATTTCCTAATTTTTCACTTTGATGTTCAAATTTTCTAGCGTGGTTGCAGCTAAATATATCTATATCACGAACACCATCTTCGTTTTCCTAATAAAAAAAGAATCAGATTGCCATATAGTAAGTTGCAATCTCAATCATTTAGTAGAATGCATTAAGTTTTTTCAGGTTATAATTTCTGTTACAAAATCAAAGACAAATATATTCTTTCTTCGAAAAAACGTGCCTTTTTCTTTTTACTTAGATTAAAGGGCAGAGCCTCAATCTGAAAAACATAGTCAGAATAATCTTAATTGGTCAACTTAATGTTAATTTCACTTTAAGTCGATCTCCGAATCTTTTGAACAAATTTATTGATTAAAACTCACTTATCCTAAGATAATTCAATGTATATAAAAAAATAATTTTATAGCTGACAATTTATTATTCGATTTAATAATGATTGAAAATTTTTTGACCAGTAATATACACATATTTTAACTTTATTTTCAACTATGTAATGTTGAAGGACAAAATCCAAAATTTGAATTGCAATGGTTGAATAATTTTTGAGAAATGAAAATTTATAATTATGACTTTTTGAAATTTGCACAGACACTATTTTATTTATTTTGCTTTTTCAAAGTTACAATGTTTTCATGCAACTTTTTTTAAATTTTACAATCGGTCATTCCTTTTCCTTCATTAAGTAAATAAAAAAAGGTAATTTTTTTTGCATGAAATTATATTTTGCCTGATGAAAAAATACAACGAAACCTCTTATAATAATAGATAAATACACAAAAAAGAAAATTAACATGAAGAGATCAAAGTGTAGACTGACTAAACTACAGTGTAACGTCCCATATCCGGACGTCCCTTTTCCGGAAGGATCGATTTCCCGGACACTTTTTAACAATCAAAATAAACAAACATTTCTTCATCCTCCCCTTTCTTTAAAAAAAAAAAAAGTCTCTTGACACGTTTTCTCCTCTAGCTTGCACTGAACCCCTGATTTATACATTGAACCCATAAATCACAAAGGGGAAGAGAAGATCTACCAAGACAATTGAGTGACCATTAGTGACGCTCCCACTCTGGAATGCAGGAAAAGAGGGAGATTTGTTTTCAAAAGACAGCAACTGCATCCCCTCCCCCCTCCTTTCCTACTAAAAAAATACTAATGCAGCTGGCTAGTAAAAGAGGCAATTCCTGGAACCTTTTTATTGAAAGAAAAGGATAAAAGCGGCAAGCATTAACGCGGAGGGGGAGTCAAAATGGAAAATTTGAATAGGTCTAAAAAGATACACATCCTTGAGAAACATTCCTTCTTTTCCAGACCATGTAATATTTAGGAGGCGGGGGGAAAAACGGGGTTACATTCTTCCTTTAGCAGATTCTTTCAGTCACACAAGAAAAAAATAAAGAGAACCCCATCAGCGGGCCTTGACTTTATGCCTGATTGATAGCCAATAATTGGAGAGAAAACAATAATTTGCCACTTCCCGGCCCTCAACTTGAATGATCTCCTCCACCTTAACGAATGACGGGAATTTCCATTTCTTGCTTGAATCGTCCTAGTTCAAAATGGTGGATTAATATTTTCATAACTGTCAAATTTTTTTCGTTTTCTATATTTTCAGCAACAATATTTTTTTTCTAATACACATTTTATATTTGATTGATTAGATATTCTAATACTAAAACATTATTCCCCTTAAAAATAATGTTTATTTATTTTTTGCTTCTTAGATTCAGATTGCTTATTAGATCATTTTAAGCTTTGTTTACCTTGGGGGTCTATTATGCGGACTTCTGGAAGTCCGATTCCGGGTACACGACTTTACACTATATTTCCAACTTATGTTTAAAATAGAGGCTACATTTTGAGGGTCAATAATCCAAATTTGTAAGAAGAAAAAAAAGATTTGTTCATTCAGGAAAAGTAATTTTGGTGCCTGATTTCCTAACTTAAAATGTCAAATGAAGTAATTTGAATATTTAAGTATACCCAAACAAACCATGAAGATTGCAACTTTTGATCATAAAATCAAAAATTTGTTAACTGTTCATTTACAATTACTGCAAATTTATAAGCAAGGAATTATTCAGAAAGCACCACCTTTTAATTTTTACACCTTGAAATCATGTCATTCATAGGAATTGAAACAATAAGAAATTTAACAATTATTAATACATTTTTTGCTTATTGCAAATCACATTTAAGATACATTTTTACTCAGTATTGAATGTTTTGATGTTGTGGGGGAAAACAGTGAATAAGGTTGCCACTCAAATTTGGAAGAAAAAAAAATTCCATGTGTTTTCCCTGCAAGTGTTGTACACAATATATTAAGAGTAAACACAATCACTGTGCTCTTGTATGAGCTATATTGGGCTAACTATACCCAGGGTTCGACTTAATTGGGGCCCGGGACAAACACCTCTTTTGGGACCCCCTCTGCTTCACTACTTCAGTAATGAAGGACCGAACTTCTTGGAGGTATTTAAATTTTTTTACCTCATTATAGATATATAACAAGAAAATAGACTAGAACTTAAAATAGCTATTAAGTTCCCCTCCAATCGTCAGACAAAATACCGTTCTGTCCGATTTTATTGATTTTCTGACAATTCTATGCCCCTCATGTGAAGGCAGTTTCCGAAATGCAGTTTTCTGATTGTTAACTTTGTCATCTAGCTGTGAAAAATTTATTTCCTTGTTGACGTAATGTTAGAAATCAGCTTTATTTTCCCAATTAAGCCAATCAAAACCCCACATTTTTGTAAACATTTAACATTTTGCGATAAGCAAAAATACAGGCTTTTCATTGCTCAAAATTGTCTATCGTAATTGCAAAAATTTAGCCAAATTCCAACCGTGGATTTATGAAATATAGATTTTTTGTGTTTATACGATAGATTAATGAAATAGCTAACATAAAACTTACGATTTTACACTGCACTGATATTTGGTTTTAAAAACAGTTCAATAAAGAAGGATACGTAAAATAAGCTTTCAATTCAACTTGGGAGACCCCTCTAATGGGCATTGGCATACAGGGCAACTGCCCCGTATGCCAATGCCCATAATAAATGCTCTTGCCAGGCTCTGATTATTCTAGTTTTAATTGCTGGAATAACTTAGAGTAAAAAAGGAACAGCTGAACATACTTAAGTAATGCTATAGTAAACAAAAAAGTTTAGTACAGTTTGAAATCATCCTGAAATATCCCATATATTATGCACTGAGTGGTCATAATTTTTTAAAAGAGGAAATAAAAACAAATTCCTTGTATTTTCCCAGTTTGTAAAGAAGAACTCAAAATTCCTTGTATTTTTCCTGTTCAATTTGGTGATACAGTGTAATGTTCCATATCCGGACGTCCCTTTCCCGGAAGGGTCGATTTCCCGGATACTTTTTAACAATCAAAATAAACAAACATCTCTTGATCTTCCGCTCTCAAAAAAAAAAAANAAACATTTCTTAATCTTCCCCTCTCAAAAAAAGAAAAAAAAGAAAGAAACAGAAAAGACCACCAAGTCCGTTGAGTGACCATTAGTGATGCTCCTCTTCTGGAATGCAGTGAAAGAGGGCAATTTGTTTTCAAAAGAGCACAACTGAGTCCCCTCCCCCCTTCTTTCATATGCAGCTGGCTAGTTAGTAGATGAGGCATTTCTTGGAACCTTTTTATTGCAGAAAAGGGGAAACGTGGAGGGGGAGTAAAAATGGAAAATTTGAATAGGTCTAAAAGGATACATGTCCTTGAGAAACACTGTTCATTCAATATTTAAGAGGCAGGGAAAAAAAAAGGGGGTAACATTCTTTCTTCAGCATTGACATGAAAAAGATTTCAAGACTCCCTGCCACTGAAATATGAATTTGACCAACAAAAGTCCTTTTATTCCAAACCAAGAACTAAATTAGATTTTTCCGAAATTTATTTCTTTTTTTTCATGCAGTACACCTGCAAATACATTATAGGAACAGGCGAATACCTTGGCGAAATAAGTCTTGCAAAATACTCCGAAACTAATTTCTCTCGCCAAATATCTCGTATTTAAACAATCCAACGCGTCACATTTGTTCGTTTTTACCGATCTAGCCTTTGTAAGTTAAGAATTTGTGATTATCGACCGCTTGCTTTCTTTAATTATTTTTATTAAGTTTTTTGACAAGTTACTGTTTTTTAAGTTTTTTGGTAAGTTATTGTTTTTGAAGTTTTTAACTGCGTAATTTTTATTAAGTTTTAATTGAGTTACTGTTATTCGTGTTAAGTTTTTTTTGTTTATTACCTTTTATTTTTCTTACGATGTCTTCATGTCCGTCGAAAAAAAGAAAAAACGTTTCTTTATCAATTAAAGAAAAAGTGGAACTACTGAGAAAATTGCACATGGGCACTTCAGTATCTAAGTTGTGTGACGAATATAAAGTAGGAAAGTCTACTGTGTACTATATAAAAAAACAGAAAGCGAAACTTTTTGACTATTTTTCAAACCAGACACACCTCTTGCAATGAAAGATCGGAAATATATTCGAAATGCTAAAAACGAGGATCATGATAAAGTTATGATTGAATGGGTACGACAATGCCGTAGTGAAGGCGTACCGTTAACAGGACCAATGTTAATGGCTCAAGCAAAGATTTTTCATGAAGTAATGGGCATTCAAGAGGAGTGCAGCTACAGTACTGGATGGTTGAAAACCTTTAAAAAAAGACATGGGATGCGCCAGCTATCTATTTGCGGAGATCGTGCGGAAGCTGACACCGAAGCTGCTGAAAAATTAATAGAAGATTTTGAAGAATTAATTAGAAATGATGACTCGTCACCAGAACAAGTATATAATGCTGATGAAACTGGACTGTTTTGGCGGTATGTACCGCGTAAGACTTTAGCCGCTGCTGAAGAAAAAAATCCAACCGGTGTTAAGGACTGTAAAGTAAGAATGACAATTATGGCATGTGCAAATGCTGCAGGTCCCAATTGTTAACAAATGCAAATTGTTAACAATCGGGAAAAGTGCTCGCCTCGTGTTCTAAAGGGTGTTAAAGTGTTACCCGTAAATCAACGATCCAACCGAAAAGCGTGGATGACCCAGCAACTCATGGAAGAATGGTTGGACAATGATTTTGTG